GTGATGATCATTTTTTTAATTTAATTTTATTGTCAGGGTGATATACAGAGGGGTTAAAGTTATATACCTAAGGGACTGAGTACATTTCTTATTGAACTTGTTACCCCTTCCCTCATTTTTCTCCCATTTTCCCTCATCCCATCATCCCAAGTATAGTTCATTTCCAACATTGAATATTGCTGTTGCATTGGTTCATTTATTTTTTAAACATGTTCCTTCAACCTCAAGGAAACCTCTGCATCTGTAGGGACCAATATGCTCCTTTACTGTCTCTGATAAGCATGTTTTAATTTTATCAATGTAAGTGTAGGTTCAAGTGCAACTGGTAAAGGATACTCACTCTTCCATGCCCATGGTTAAAACAGAAGTTTATTATTTAAATAGTTGTGGTGATAACTATAGTGCGTGTGTTTTCTCCTTTGTTTTTTAAAGTGTTCAAATCAGTCTTAAAGATAAATTGCATAAATCATTGTTGCCTTTGTTAGGTTTCATAGGTGAGGTTAAGTTATAAGAAAGGTATTGTCTTCTTTGTATCCAATTCTAGGGATTGAACCAGAGCCTGACCCCTGCTAGACAAGTGCTCAGTCACAGATATACATAACTCAGAGCCTCACAGTAAGATATCTTAATGACTGAAAATACAGTCTCAGATAGCTTATTTCCAAGGTGAGAGGGCATCTTTGTCTTTTAAATTAATGGTTATTTTAAATATTCCAGCTACATTACGATACCTTTCTGAATTAGTTCTAAAGGTGTTATATTGTACTTCATTTGTCAGTGGATATAGGTTACTACTGAGATTTGCTGTTGGCTATATTGCTAAAATTATAAATGTGATTTCTGTTTCTATGCCTTGCATCTACATTTTGCTGGAAGGATTTTTTCATTTCTGCACCTTCTTTTTCCAACCTTATTTTAAATGTGCCAAAACATTTTCCATTCTAAAATGACCTGTGTTTTTTGCTCTGACTGATTTATGCAATTACAAACCATTGAGTTAGACCAGAAATTGCTTTGTGCTCTGGGATAAGTAAAAACTTGGATTCTCTTATTTTCTTCTTTGCCATATTAACAGTTTGCCATATAAAGAGGTTGACATTCTTAATTCAATCCGAAAAGACATTTGATGTCTATTGGGAAGTAAATTCAGATGACAGAAATTTATGTATAAATTTTCCATACAGAAAGAAAAGTCTTATCACTTGGACCTACAGATCTTTACAAAATAGTCTGCTGGAGAAATATTTAGGACCAAGAAGGACATTGTGGCACATTTTCTTGCTTCCTGGTGGAAGAAAGAGGGGTTGGAAGGAAAAAGAGTTATTGGAAGTCACATTGACAAGGACAAAACCATGAGATCCACTTAGTTCCACTCACTTCCTTCTCTTGCTTCTTCTTTCCTTTTCTTTCTTGTGACAAATTTCAAGCAGATATGCTGTCCTGAGTTGTTCTGGTGAGAAGTTTAATGAGTGAGACCTTAATAATTTCTCCCATTAAAATGATAAACATGAAAAAAGCTGCCTTTTAATCTTTTAATCAAACTCTTTAATTTTCTTGTAAATCATGATCCTTGCTGCAGTGGACACAGTCTGAGATTTGTTCGCATGATCCCTGCTCCTGTATTTATATCCTGTGTAGCCACCTGCCCTGTAACTTGCTTCTAACCATAGTATAAGGCAAAAGAGATCAGTTGTGTTGCATTATGGAAGACTGGCTTTTGAGACTCACTCTGCAAACTCTCCTTGTCAGTTTGGACAAGCAAGTAGCCATATTGGGAAAGTTTACATGCCAAGGCCTAGTAAATAGTTTGAAGTAGCAGAACATAACTTTCAAATAATAGAAGAAGAAGAAGCTGAGCAGTTATTCCTTACCCTCAAGAAGATGAATTCTGCCAAAGACCTGAGTTAGTTTGAAAGTGGGCTCTGCCTCACCAGTCAAGCCTTTCTAGCTTTGCACAGATCTATACAAAAGATCCAGATAAACTTGACCAAATCCTTAAAGCAGAGATGTACAAGGAAAAAAATGTGAATGTATCATTTTTAAGTAGATAAAGTTTGAGATAATTTTGACAAAGTTAAAAAAATCACTAACCCTTATGATAGAGCATGATATTCTGATACATTAAAATATAACCTTATCAGTGAATTCTTGACATTAATGGAGCATTAGAAATTCCTTCCTCAAATTGAAGTCCAGGAGGTGTTTGCTAGGAGGCTAGGTAAACATACTCAATGTTATACTCTGTCTGACTGACTAAGATACATTTACATTTTTTAGTAACTTTAATAATTCATAACCATCATTGAATCAATTCAGCAGAAGTTAAGGGAATTAAAAAATAAACAATTTCAAGTGTTCAGCATGATGAAATCTATAATGGCCTGGTCTCAAGAGTCTCTGTACTTTAAGAAGCTATAATTTTAAATAAGTCTTTCAGTGTGATTTTTTTTACTACAGTTCTTACTTGGAAAACAACCCAATTTAGGATATGTTACCTTGTGTGTCTATTCCTATCCAATGATATTCATATAATCATCACCATCACATAATAAGAATCATCTCAAATAAGTAATATTGTATGTAGTTTTTATCCTGGCATTTATGAAACCTTTTTCTAATATGCATTTATTATGTACCCTGCTTATTGGTTTAATCTTCACCACACCATAGCTGTTGATCTTACTATATCTACCTAATAATATATTGATCTACTCAGCTGTGCCTGGGATTCAACATCTATCAACTAGGATAATAGTATGATTCTCTAATTCTGTAAGCACGACATATTGTGTGTGTGTTCACATACCTCAAATGTGTAACTGTTTGTGTTTTGCATAGAACAGCACTCAATCTTTGTTTGGCTTATGCTAGTTATTAGGGTGATTTCTTCAATTAATTTTATTAGCTATTCTGTCCTTTGTTGGCACGTTTTCAACTATGCTATAGAGAAATCTGGAGGACAACCTCACCTCGTATGCACCCTGCTATCTGATATGAATACTCCCTAGTTTCTGATTGTCAGAAATTAGCATTTCTAACTGTCACAGAATAAAGACATAGCGATGGCATGAGGTTACAGAGGTAGTAAATCTGGTCAGAACCCTATCTAGAAGGATATCATAGGGAGTCACATCTATACATCATTGAGAGCAGTTATTGGCATTCCTAAAACTCATAATTTAAAATTATTTCAAACACTTGCATGTAATCAGTTACATCTTTACATATTTTAAATTTAAACTAGATGCATTATTAAAAATTTGAACATATCTTTTCAAAAATAGTATTTTTAAATGAAAATTTTCCAAGAGAAAAAAAGCAAGATTTTCATTATTCTATCAGCATTTAATACATTTCCACCAAATGCGGAGTTCCTTCTGAAATACGTTTATGAGGCACAGTCTATTTTTAACAAGGACTGCTTGTTTTCTAAATATGTGACTTTCTTGGGATGACAATAATGTTTCTTATTTTTCTGAAATGAAAGAAAATTAAAATGCTTCATTCATTAGTCAGTAGGAAGTAGGGTCTGTAACAAGAGCTATTAGTAAGAGATGGTTGTAATTCCAAAATAGATTTTAATTACATGTAAAGGATTTGAGAACTTTTTTTTCTAACAAAGAAGTGTAAACTAGAACTTTTACATGAAGCATGATATCAGTCTCACAGTATCTAGACAACCCTCTCCCAATTCATCATTAAAGATTATCACAAAGGTGACTAGAATATCAAAAATAAACACAACTACCAGAAACTAATGAAAATAGTTCTTTTTCTAATTATTTGCAGTCAGTAAGATAGGATTAAGAAATCCAAACTTGGAACACTCACACTTGACCTTTCCAGCTGAGCCCCTCCTTATGACTACCCAATGAGGAGAGATGGACTCACAGGTTCCATTGTGTGCCTTGCTGAATAGGAGGACACTTACTAATCCCGACTCTTGACTTAGTCCCTCTGTCATTCTTCAGCTTGCCCTGTCACTCTCAGAATCCAATTAAAGCAATAAAGAAACACGCTCTAAGGACATAGGAATAACCTTCTGAGCTACCAACATTAAAAGTTGTGTTATGGATAGGAAAGAAACTAGCAACAGCTAAAAGTCACATCTATTTATAAGAGGAAATTCCTTTGTGCTACAGAGAGTGGAAAAATAACATTTTAAGAATAGAAAAATTAGAATTCTTGAATTCTGTTAATTATCTCTGATTAAGCAGATTCTGTCTAGACAGAACCATGAAAGTTATAAGACTCTTTGAGTGACTTCATAAATTGTATCTGTATCTATATACAGATTCTGGGTCAAGTTCAACAAGCAGAAGTACAACCTGGCTATGGTCAACAGGCCTCCACACCTAGGAGTTTTGGGAGATATGCTTGGTGTGTGTGATTCTGGCATGGTGTGCGAAAGAGGAAGACAGGCAGACTTCCTAGTGACCACCAGATCCCTAAGAACACTGCCTGAATGAGTGGGAAAAGAAAACCCAACTGCCCACATGGGACATCTGGCAGCATGACCTGATCAAAATCCTGCACAACTAGAACCCATTTAGAGTTCTGAAAAAACTGTTTGGTGGTTCAGACTCCAATATGACACAGGAGAGAAGAGGCCAGACATAATGCCTTGGTAGTTTTATTGGTTTCTGTCCATATTACTTAAGATGTTTGCTCAACCTAATTGTCTTTGTGTTTGAAACTCAAATTGTGAGCAGGAAAATAAGATGACATGTTTGGGAAAAATATATATATACATGGTTTAGTAAATCAATAGCATATATCAGGTGATAATATTTTATAAAACGTATTGATTTCAGTATCAGCAAAACTCAGCTCACTTTATTTCAAATTCTGGCATATCATTTGTTATTCATTTTTGGTAGATGAAGATTATTTTGAATTGACTCCATGTCTCACAAAAAGAATATTTAAAACTTCTTTCATAATGTGTTGCTAGATACTTGTCTGACTTATAATGTTAACAAACACTGCTTTGTTTCTAGAATGACATGAATTACATAGCATCCAGTGGACTTCTCTTCAAAGATGGCAAAAAACGAATTGATTACATCCTGGTTTATAGGAAGACAAATATACAGTATGACAAAAGAAATACATTTGAGAAGAACCTCAGAGCCGAAGGTTTAATGTTGGAGAAAGAGGTATTTGATCATTATTATTTTTGGTTTATTACTCTGGAACAAATACAATTATTTATGATCAGATGAAGAAAATATAAGTCTCCACAAAAATACAATAATTTCCTTCAAAATGTAAAATAACAATAATTTATAAAATAATATGTGAAATATAAAAATGATGTTATAAATAGTATTATTCAAATATCTATCTATATATCCTTTGCAATACACTAGCTTTGAAACAAGATTAGCAATTTCTTATATATTTTCTCTGAAAAGGCTCAAGAATCCCTTCACCAACATTACTATAAAGAATGTTACCTATACTCTAAATGAAAGAATAAAAGATCATGGCAATATTGGACAGGGACATAAATGGGTAGAATTTGCTAAGTATTTATCTTCACATGAATACACAGGAAAATATTTCTACATTTATTTCTTTGAGGTGCTTGAGCTATGATGAGAAAAACTTAGGCTTGTGATCTCAAAAAATTTTCCATTCATTCAAGAATTAATGAAGCATCTACTGTGTACCACATTCTGGGGATAAACATAAAAACCATGTATTGGCACAAATCACTAGAAAGAATAAGGAAAAAACTAAGCATAAGGATAAGAAGAGTAAGATAGAAGAAGAGGAATAATGAGAGAGAAGTGAAATAAGCAAGAGCCCAACTGTTCCAGGGAAGAGTTAACCATTCAGGTTCAACACTGTTGAGAGATCCAAGACCAGAAAGAGCTTCATTCAATTGGAGAATATGGAGATCTTTGGTAAAAAGCCATGAGAACTGCTTATTTGACAGCTGTGCATATGAGACTAGGGTGAAGTGCCAATAGGTAATAGAAAATGAAGACAGCATCAAATGTGATCAACTTGCTAGTAGTAAGAGGAGGAAAAATAATGGCAGATAGGAAAATGAAGTCTTACATTTAATTCCTTTGTTTCTTTTATTCTTTACTTTTTATTAATTTTTTAAAAAGGACTTTTAAAATACAATGAGGAAGATCCAGGGGAAATGAAGCTGGGAAAGGATGGAAATAGAGGAGAGGTAGAGGTGAAGGGAAGGATGTGGGACAAAGAAGAAAGAAGAAAGGTAGGAGAGAGTGGAGGAGAGGAAAAGAAAGCCTGGGAGAGAAGCAAAGAGACCAAGGACACAGAAAATGGAAGAGGTTAATAATATTAAAATGTTTCCTGGAAGAGATTGAACACAGAACATCCAGGAGAGTCAGAATTCCAAAATTATATATAGATATGGAATTATACTTATATATATGGAATTATTATATTCTTTGCTTTGATTCCTAGTTTTGAGAGTAACAACATGACTTTTTAAACAATTGAGCTTATTGGGAGTACATTTGTTGTTTCAGGCTATGAAACATATGGTATACAAAATAAAAGTATTTTTTTAAATAAGCATTCTAACATTGAAAAAGATACTGTCTCATGGCTTCCATCAAGATATCTTAAAATTATTATTCCTGCTCAATAAATTTTCAAAAAATGTATCCACTTCAAATAAAAGCTATGCACCAACTTTAAATTCTGTTGGTCAGCAACCTAGAAATGATATGACTCAGTTTCTAAGTCTTAACTCAAGGTGTTTCATAAGCTACATTTGTACATGGAACTTAGGGCTCTTTTATAAACATACATGATTTTTTACAGAATTGTTTTAGGACCTAGGCACGTATTTCCATGGTGGATTTTAGCTCTTAGAAGTTATGCTCATTCCTCTAAAATGGCCCTTTCCAGTTGCAGAACTAGTAGTGAGGAATTTCCTTGCAGTCCTCTACTGTTTTGAATATTTCTTTCTAGGAAGAGAACAGGCCTTTCTAGGGACTCAGCAGCCATAAGGAAAATCTTTTCTTTAACATGGGACATACCTAACTATGGGAATAACTATCATATCATATCTGCATGTATCACAGACAATAGCAGACAAATGTAATAAGGAACAGAGCTCTGGAAAGACTTTACATCAGTATCTCCAAACTTTGTATTGAGTGGAGCAAACAGAAGATGATACAATATAACCTGTTTTTGAGATTATTTTTTACCTATTTTTAAAATTATCTTCATATCGTTGTACAAAAGACTTGCCATTTAACAAAGCAGTTTATGAGTACAAAGCATCTTAATCAATGTCACCCTTTCAACATTCCCACCTATCCTGCCTCTATTCTTCTTAATGTTATAGGATATTCATTGAATTCTTGATTGCATTCTCCCCTCTTTCTATTCTTCATTATTCTACCTCTTTCCCCTTGACCCCACCCCAACATTTCAACTATCTGCTTCTTAGTGCCTTTGCAAGAAATTAAGCTATTTGAGCTCTCCCTTGAATTGATTGTATTTCAGTTAATACATTAATATACACTGGCATACCACCAAACATATTTACTTGTAAGTTCATAGTCTATAGTTTCCATCTATAAGGGGAAAAAGGAAACTTTTGTCTCTCTGTGGCTGATTTATTTCACTTAACATAATTTTTCCAAGTTTTTCCATTTCTTTATAAATGGTACAATATCATTCTTTATAATGGATGAGTAAATTACATTATATATGTATGTATATGTGTATGTATGTATGTATGAAATGCTCAACATCTCAGGCCATTAAAGAAATGAAAGCCAAAACAACATTGAGAATAAACTTTATGATAGCATAGAACTCATTGATATGTGAGCACTGATAGCTATCTAATGTATTAAATACAGTATTTTGGGACTGGGCTATAGATCTGGGATAACGTGTCTGCCATGTCTTGTCAAAGTCTGCATTAGATATCCAACTCCACACACACACATAAAATAACAATAATAATAACTAAAGAAACCCTGACAGTATAAGCTATCATATTTTGTGGTGCTATAAGTGTTTATCTTTCAATTTTCTATTAAAGGTTGTGCATTTAATTGCAACTTAATTTTAATACATATTTATATTGAAAGTACTTAGGATTTGCTGTTAGAGAAAAGGAAAATCAGATCTGCAAAAGTAAAAATGTCAGCAAGTATTGGATTTGTAGGGTAAAAGATGAATGACATGGGAAATGCTCTTCTTGACTTCTTGAGTTCTCCAGACTCAAGCTCTAAGCATAGCAGAGAGGAGATCTCAAATTCTCCTCCAATTGCGTGTGAATGTGATCAGTTTTTAGGAGATAACATCAGGATGCAGTGTTTCACACTGGAAGTCTATCAAAATGAATGCAGAAGTGATTTCTAATGGTCGGGGTAGGTGCTTCATAAGCAAATTCAGTTTCCAATTCATATCAGTGGCTTTCTCCTAGACTTAAAGACCAAGAAGATATAATGTGCTGTTTTTGCACCAGTCTGTCCCCTAAAACTTACAGAGTGACTTTGTAAAAACTCCACTGTTAAATTTCTTTTTAAATTTCTTATATTCAGTCTTCAGGGGTGAATGTCATATCTCTTGGGAGTTTGAGGTGGAATAATTGAGTAACAATGTGAAGTGTGAGGGATGGAGGTGCTTTGTTTCCTCTGAGAAGCCTGTATGCAGCAGAGCTGAACACAAAAGCACCAAACTGGCAGCTTTCTGCTTCTACCTCACAGCAGCAAGTAGGCCAATTGCTGGAAATCCGTGTTTTTTAATTTTTAAGTGGTGGTATAATAAAAGAGAATTAAAGTTTAGGAATTATAGAAAGGTAGTTCTTAAAATATCCTCCATTATATATATATACATATATATATATATGAGAGAGTGAGTTAAGACATATAAAATGAGAAATGTTCTAGCTGTGTGTGCACTTAACCTGACATTTTCCTCATGAGGTTAGTCATTGTAATGCAGAAGCCTCCTTCAAAGCATCCCTTTATTTAAGGTGATTATTTCTCATGGAAGAGGTTGACAGTAATGAAGTACTAATTCTTGTGAGACAAGCTGTTCATACAGCTAATTGGGAACCTGACATAGAGCCCCATTCCAAAATAATTCGGCTCATTGGCTTTCTTGTCTGTTTTAGCTCTTGTCTAGGTATAAGTTATATAGAATGCATACTCAAAACAAATTAACTCATCCATTCAACCCACGTTTGGAGGGCCTTTTGTGTCTGATACAGAAGCAGATGACTGGGCTGTATAAAGGAATCAAATGAAGTGTATTCTCTCAGGACATATAACTAAATAGAAGGGAAATGTACTATCAGACAAAGAAGATATCAATGTAGGAAAAGTAGGACAGAGCAAGCAAGTAGTGCATGATCAAATGATTGGCGTGGAGGGAGGGGACAGGGGAGACCAGGGCAGAGGAAGTTCTTGAGATAGTGAGGGTGAGAAGATGAAAATGTCATTGAAGAAGCTGGCTTTCACTCTGAATGAAATGGGGTTCTGAGAAGTGGTATGACCCAAATTTTAAAAAACTACATCTCTATAAAAGGGAAAAAAATACAGTAGCATAGGATGCTTTAAATAGATACAGAAGAAGCATTTTTTCAAAGAATTTAAAAACCCAAAGAAATATAATATTGCTGTTGTTTGTTTTATAATCTGTACTTCATTATATTACCAGATCGACAATGGTATAGATGTTTCCCTCAAACTAAATATGTAAATCTTGATTCAGGTCACTGAATTTCACAGTTTCTCCCAAATCAGATTGTTGTTGTTTTTATGCTTTTATAACCCAAAGGCCTACTATAAAAGACATACACAACCAAGAGATAGACTCCAACAAAGACAACTCATGTAAGCAATTACAGAGGTGGGAGAAAATAAAAGATACTTAGAAATTCATCTAAATTTTGGATTTGTTTGATTAAAAGGCACGCCATGACTTGAAAACCAACATTTCTAAAGAAGCAGTTAGGCATAGATATTTCACTAGCACAGTCTTTTATAACATGTCCATCTCTAAACCTGAACTCCTTCTTTTCATTTCTCAAGTGAAGAAATTCAGGGTCATTTTTTTCCCAGGTCACTGAACTAACAATTCATGGAGATATAATTTGTGCTCAAGTCTCTGTGATCACAAGCAACAACCTTTTCCTATTATAACATGTGGTTTCTTCTAAGTAGGTAGTTATGTTTGAAAAAAAAATGTACTTGTGCCTGGTAAGTGAAAGGCAGGTTGATGTCATACCAGTAGCCAACAGCAAAATTTCAAAAAGAATTTTTATTATTATTTTGAGTATAAGAACTTCTGCATGAATAAGGCGAAAGTAGAAATATATTAAAATGAAACATATGTCTTTTTTGCCCTGGATGGAAGAATCATTTAAATAAATTGATATATAAGGTGGGGTTTTTTTTCATTTCTAAAAGCTTTGCTTGTTTGTTTACTAATTGCACTAGAGATTGAAATTGGGGCCTACAACATGATAGGCAAGCACTCTGCTACTGAACTGCAGCTTCTACCCTAAAATTTTTTATTATACTATCTCTGCACAAAACCCTCCTACTAAGTCTGGAATATACACTAAAAATAGCCTGGAAGAATCTACACCAAAATCTTCTCTTTTTTCATGATCAATGTTGGGTATAAACTGACTGATACATCTGTATTAGTAGTTATTTGAATGAATGAATGATCACTTTTTACATGTTATGCTTTTTTCCCCAACTGTAGTTAATGTTCCTAATGTTGGTCTAAGTTCAAAGACCTGTTAATATTTGAGAGATAAGTCTATGTACCTCTGGCACTGTCCATGATAATTTCCATAACCCTTAATTTGAAACAAATATACATTAAATAAGAAAGGTCCTTCAGAAATTACACTGGCATAAAACCATCTTTCACTATGCTTGTCTCATAGTAATTTGGAAATACTAGTATGTCAGTAAGCTCAAAGAAAACAGTTTGTGACCTAAGAATTTGCATATTCAGAATCCCCTACTATCTCCTATTTTCAGTAAATGTTGTGTCTTAACATGTCTCAAAATTCTCCTAGTGAGAAGCCCAAATTTTTTCTAATTTTCTGTCTTAAAAGAGAAAGTGATTCTTATATAGGAAGTGTCTGCAGGGTAGTAGGGAAGAAATGATCAGACTTCAGACTGCCCTCTAAGCATGAATATTATTGCAGTGGTGTGACTTTCTAATAGCACTGTTTTTAAAATGTTGGTGAAACAAGTTTGAAATACTATTCTGGAAAACCCACAAAACTAGACCTACTTAGAAACTTAGAATGTAGGGCTTGATAAATATTAATATGAATATAATCAAATGAATATATGTGATGAATATGTGGATGACTATGTTTGAAGATATGGTTAAATTTGTTCTTAAATTAAACTGATAATTTTATTCTATTTTCTGGGCTTAAGTTTTTAGTTTCCTGAAGAGTTAAGCCTACCTGGAATTCAAAAGCTTGCTCACTGGGCCAATTTGTTCAGGATGTCTACAGACAAGACAAAGTTGTCTTGTGACAGATGTTCACAAGATGGAGGATAAGTTTTGTGGAAATTGATGCAAAGATAATGACAAATGTCCCATGCTTTGTGGGCCTCAGATATAGATGTAAATAGCTGTGTAGGCCTTTAAAACCAATTGGACTGTGAACATGACTAAATATAATGCCAAGTTAGTTGTTAAGCTACACCAAGTATTTGTTTAGCTATATATCTTACGATCTGGACCAAATCTAAGAATTTAAATGAGTATCTGGTATAGAAACACATAAGACTCTAATGAGCGGCATTATTAAGATATCGATAGACAAGAGAATCTAATCCTTGCATTTACAAGAAAAAATTAGACCTGAGATGGGTTCAGGTGGCTCATGCTTGTAATCATAGCTTCTCAGGAGTGTGAGTTCTGAGGATCACAGTTCTAAATCAGCCGAGGCAGCAAAATCCATCAGACTCATCTCCAAATAACCAATAGAAAATCCAAAGTGGTAGAGTGCTAACTTTGAGGAAAAGAGCTCAGTGACCCCAAGGCAAAAAAAAAGAAAAAAGAAAAAGGAAAGAAAAGAGACAGACCTATTGCCCAATTTTGAAAAAAGAAAGAGAACCACCTAGGTGATTATGATGATTGTTTGACTCTTCTCAAAATCCTCTTAGCTAGATAAAAGGTATTTAAAACCTTATGTTTACATACAAGTTGAAATGGAATAAAAATATAGAGTGAGCATGAAAACTTGACAGTTTTGTATAGTCCTGAGTTCCTAATGGTTTATATAGGACTTATTTTCTGAGTATTATCATAGTATTTAGAAAGTAACTTGAAGATTCAGTTTACACTTAATAAAATATGAGAGTAAATGGATAAATTATTTAATGACAAGAGACAATTTGCAATAGTTCTGCCTTCTCTTAAAAGAAAGGAAAAACAGTTCATGAAACAGTGTCCATCAAAAATAACTTGAGAGCCAGGCACTGGTGGCTCACGCCTGTACTCCTAGCTACTGAGGAGGCTGAGATTTGAGGATCACGGTTCCAAGCCAGCTCAGGTAGAAAAGTCCGTGAGACTCTTATCTCCAATAAACCACTAGAAAACCGGAAGTGTTGCTATGGCTCAAGCTGTAGAGCGCTTGCCTTGAACTGAAGAGTGCAGGGACAGCGCCCAAGCCCAGAGTTCAAGCCCCACGACTGACAAAAGAATAAAAATTAAAAAAAAAAATAACTTGAGATGTGATTGATTTGCTACAGTGCAAAGATGTGGAGCTGTAACAATAAAATCCCCCCATATAACTGACATAAGCTGATAAAAAAGAATATCTAGAGATTCTTAATTATCCATATAGCTCTGGTAGGAGAAACCTACATTTTGATCATAAGCAATATAAGAACATTCATTCATTTACACAGGTGCTTATTTCTTGTACACAGTTGTGGCACAGAGGAAAAGCCTGCTGCTTGCCTGTGCAGAGAAACTAATGGAATGACATCATATTTTTGAAAAACAAAGATATTTTATTGTTTTTCTTTCAATCCTCAAGAAGTTATCAGTTTGCTCACCCTAATTTATTGATAGCTGGTGCATTTACAGGAGAGAGAAGGGATCATCTGCTTCTTGATTTTGTGAGAAGGGGAAGTTTTATGGTTATCTGTGCAGGTATATGTGGATGGTCACCAGGCCTATCCACTTATCAGGTTTACTTTCATGACTGTTATCAAGTTCTGGAGGGATGAATGTGAACTCGCCTTCTGGATTCTATTGTTACGAATGTCCATTGTTGAAAGCTGAGTGTTTCAAACTGAATGAGTACATTATGAAGGCACTTCCTGTTAAACAACTCGTGAACACTCTGTAATTGATGTCTGGATGTGTCCAATCCTCAGCTGGTTTCTATGCCAATATTTTATTGAGGTTTTTCTTTATTTAAAAAAATGTATACATGTAATTTGTCTCTTAATCGATGATGACAATTCATGTATAATCAGGGAGGGTGATAGTTCTTGCTTGTGATTCAAATTTTGATATAAATATCATGTTTTGGTTATAAATCTTACCTGTCTTGCTATCCTTCACAGCCAGCTATTGCAAATCCCGATATTATGTTTATTAAAATTCACATACCATGGGACACACTGTGCAAGTATGCAGAGAGGCTGAACATCAGAATGCCCTTCAGGTACTTTTTAATTTGTCTCATTTCATCTCAATATGTACTAATATGAGTCTGCCTTTTACAATACCATGGAGCAATAAATGTTGCCCTTTTTTTAAACCAGGAAATCGCTTTTTTCCAAAAATAGAAGGTTTTTAAAAATTATTTTTACCTAATAAGCTTCCTAATTCCCTGAACACTTTCTATCATTTCAAAATACACTTGCCTAGAGACAGAAGATGAAATCATTATTCTCAGAGTTGAAATTTAACCATTCTCAAGAACATGCTCACCTCTGAGTTCAAATAGATGGATATAACCCTGTTATTTGTTGTAGAAAGTAAGAAGTGTGATTGAAAACAATCTTTATATATAAACACAGTGTTCTTCATGGATGACCAGTTACCAAGGGCAGATCATTTCAATCGGGCTAGTTTCTTAGTTCCATTTGTCAGTACTAATTTATGAAAGAATTGCTCCTTTCAAAATTTCTTCAGTCTTTGATGTCAGCAGATTGGAAAGAAAATATATTTCTTAACCTGAGAAACTTTGGTGCCATATGCAGAATAAAAGATATCTCTCTTCCATTTCTTCTAAGTAAAATGAACAGTGCTTCTATTGTATGCAAAATGTTCACTCACATTGAAGACTTGAGGGATCCCATCAATGTGAAGCTAAGTGTGATTCATCAGCGCCTGAGTAGCATTTAAAAGGTTCAAAGAAAATGAGATTCCGAGGGAACCTACTTTGTACAAGTGAATATTAAGAGTGTAAACTAAAAATAGAAAAACTCTTCAGAGTTGGTAGCAAGAAAGATCATGCTACTGGCTGCAGAATCTCTCATTTTGTGATCTCTACTGTATTCAATGGTAAATGAAAAAATGATTGCAATATTTTTACACTTTTGTAACATTTCAAGCTTTGAAAGATGCAACCACAGTCATTGTTCAGAAATTAGAAATTGATTTAGCATTGGGAGCTCCTGCCAGAATTAGACTTAAAGATGTCAATGAATTCACATTCATGCATGAATAAGTTTTTCAAAGTGCTTTATAGAGATAGTATTTAGGAGATAAGCCAACAATAACTCAAGGATCTTGGCGAAAATATGAAATGAAAACCAACAGAAAATGAACATACCTTTCCAGTTCCTCAGCTCCTTATAAAGCTGATAACTAAGATTCCTGAAAGAATCTAAGTTCTGTGCATTTTTATGAAAGTTGGCCTCAGAAAGAAGCAAATGGGACTTATGAGTCATCAGAGAAGTACATTAAATTCAATTCATTTTACTGAATGTACCTTAAAAATACAAATAAGGAGTAGAGATATTTGTGATAGACTATGTTTCTTGACCTCTAAAAATTTTCTCTTTTGATCCTGCAACTTTCTAAAACTCTTTTGAAATTTCAATAAGATTTACACTAATAATACTATAGATAATATTACAGAGAACACTTGACCTTGACTATACAAGCCTCTGACATGATCTATGCACATTCATGCCACATAACATCATCTTTTTATAACATCACCAGAATAATAGTAACATACATGTTTATTTATCAAAGAATTTTACAATTAGTTATCTTTATGGTTAGCCTAGATATGATAAATAATCAGCTACTTATTCAGAGTGCAGTCAAACTTCTGAAACTCAATTTGAAAATATTTTCTGTAAGCCTTAAAATCTTTTCATAGGCTTTACTTTCTATTTATAAATATCAGATATTCACTAGTTTAATTTATAATTGTAGAAAATAGAATTGTCTTCTACATCAGTATAAGAGGATTTAAGAATGTTAGAGTATACTTTTTAAAATAAATATAAATCATTTATAAAATGAATGGGCATAAGAATTTTTAATGATTGTGAGAAAATAGTAAGTGACCAATTTAAATAGAGATAATAGTATGATTATGCATACAATATAACTTCAACCATGTAAAATACAGGGCCATATGATTGAAAATACAGTGAATTAAAATGATTGCTTTTAGTAGTAGGTGACTTTTTATATTCTTATACAATATAAAAAATTATAATTACTTACTATAATTATAATTCTCACAGAATTTCTTTGCACAAGTTCCAATTTCACTAAATTATGTCAACACATGACATAAAGAGACATAACATCCAAGATGTTGATCAATATTCTCATAAAGGACAAAATTGCTAAAAAAAAAAAAAAGAAAAAACCACTAATCTCAATCCATATTAGAGGCCTTTATCTGGTCCCAATATTTTGGGTTAGCATTGTTACTAAGAATGTAAATATATAAATTAATTAATTTCCTGGTAGATGGTAAAGGAGGAAGACCTAAGCTGAGCATTTCATTGAGTTTTCAGTGTTAAGGTTCTGTTCAGGATGTGTGATCATTGTATTAAAACATCTGATCTCAGTGGGAACACCAACTCCTCTGGACTTCATACAAATGTTTTAAAGGGGTTCAAATACTAGTGTCACTCTGTTTTCTGAGTGGAGAACTGACATTGTTTAACTTAGATCTTACTATATTATTACTAACACGCAGATAAATTTTTATCCCATAGGAGAGTAATAATCAATACAATACAGAGAGTTTAGACACTATACTGTATAAGTATAGATTAAAGTTTTAGTCAAAGTTTATTTCTAACAGTTCAAGAAGCTAGAATTACAAAATTAAGGTGCCATCATAGTTTCTAGTGAGACCCCTAGTGTAGATTTTGTCTTCAAATGGTAGGAAGAAGGCTGACTAGCTTTCTGGCCTCTTTTAAGGGCACTGGTCCTATTTACCTAAGACATCATCTACATAACCTAAATTCAAAATCTCACCTCCAAATACATGGCATAGTAAGGCTTCAAGTAGAAATTTGGGTAGAGTAGAAACAAATATTAAGTCTGTTACAACAAACAATAGCATATGTTTGCTTTATAGTGTACCTTCAAGGGAGAAAATGAGAAATAATTAAAATTATAAAATTCCTCTTTCGTTGATGCTTTGCCTAATATTATTTCATGATCCTCCTCCTTCTTGCCTGCAAAAATGTTTCTAATTGATGACTTACTGAAACTTTTAGAAAATGCTATTAAATTCTCACAAATAATAATATAAATCTTAGGAAAATATACAGTATGTCCCAGAGTATGGCAGAGTAAAATAAGTTCTATAGAGTTATAAAAATTACCTTATGATGCATTATCTTCTGAATTTCTAAGTTAATACATAAATATTTATTAAGGAACATTTGGAGAAGTTCCTCTTAGCCTTCAGAAGGCATTAAATTTTCCATGGAAACAGTAAAAATGAAATAAATATAAAACCTATTCCTAGAGATTTTGGCACATTAGATCGGGGATGGTATTGGATCCATAAACTTTTAACGGGTATCCCAAGAGTTTGATTCTGATAATAAAGAATTATTGTCGCTGGTATTTTAATATTAACAATTAAATATTTTAATATTCCATGTAATTTTTACTAACTTCCAAGAGGGAATTATACAATGTAGGGTCTCACCATTTTCTACCTGAATTTAATGTTCTAATGTTCTTGGAACTATTTGAACAATGATGGAACAAAAGTTGTTTCAGAACAACTTTCTCGATCAGTTTAAATAATAGATGTTGCATGAACTAACTTCATAGTAACCAACTTATAATTTATTTATAAGGTACACTTGTAATTTGGGCTTGTAGGCAACAGATGATGAGAATACTATTCAATCATAAACTGTACAGAAAGTCTTTTCATGATATCCAATCCAAGTCTGATGTCATCCTGGGCTAGGTAATGAGTTCAAGGCCAACTTGAACTACAAAGTGAAACCCTATGCATAATGGAAAAAAAGAGCTGGAGATATAATTCAGTTGTTGAGCATTTGATCTTTATCTTCAGCCTCACCAAAAATAAGAATTAAAATATACTGAAGTATACTAAAATATACTAAAGTGTACAGAAGATATATGTGGGATAGATGAAAATGTAGCATTTTTCATGAAGTTCTTATATCTGATCAGAGTCCTGGAACCAATCCCTCAAGAGAGTGTAGGATGGAAACATACAAGGGTAGTGAGGTACTTAAAATTATATTTTCTGAAATTCAAAAGATTTTACAAGGAGGTTAAAATTTAGCATGACCATTTCCTTTTAAAAAAAAAGAATATATATATATATATGTGTGTGTGTGTGTGTATACATATATATGAATGTGTTTATATATATACATATATATACATTTTTACTCTGAGACATTCCACACAATTTTTAACCTTAGAAATCGTTCACATTCCTCAATGAAAAGCCAAAAATTTACTCAGAAAGATTTGTTATAAACATTCCTACAAAGACTAACTTTTTGTATTATCATAAATCTTTAATGTTTTACCTACTGATAGAATGTGTCAGTAAATTATTGTGCACCTAAATTATCCAGTTATTGCTTTCTTAGTTTACCTCTAAAGTAAACAAGGACTTCACACTGAGCTTAATGTTTCTAAAGTAAGCCAGAGGATTTTCAAAGCTTACATTGCACACACAGCTCTAGTTTATCAAATCAGAAAAGATTTAGTTTTAGATTTGTGTATCTCAGTAGTTATCAAATCCCATACTAATCATTTTTCTTTGGATTCAGATTTAATTCCTGTTCAGGTCTCTCTCATACATTAAAATAATCAACACACTTAAAATGTGTCAATCATCCTGAAGTTTGCAAAGTGAGTCTGTAGAGGGAGGTAAGCTTACATTTCTTCCAATCCTCCAATAAATGTTTCAGACATAAAGAATTTGAGGGGGCCAATGTTCTAACACTTTCTTTTAACACAATTAGGATTAAATTTAGACCACACTCATGCAAAGTATATTTCTCAAAAAATAAAATAAAAGCATAAAAAGTCTAATATACAAGATGTATAAAAGTAGAGTAGCTCAGCTTTCCCAGAAGCAGTGGCCTTAGTAGCTCACCCATACACTGGCTGTCTCACTGGGTCCCTGAGAAGGCTTTACAATCAACAACCAACTATTAAGAGTTGGCTCGAACAGTGATTCTGATCAACATTTACAAGTAAATTTCATGCATCAATGTATAGCTAATGCAGGGTATAAAATAATAGAATGATAAGAATGGAAAATTAAGGGGAAAATGATGCTATTTTTATATGTGACAATTTTCAGTTAAGAAGTTACAGGATGGAACATTATAGATAGCAGAGAATTTGGTCACCAAATTCATTCATGGAGAAGAATAAAGGAAAATAGAGATTATTGATGAGTTTTATATTAAGGATACACTGAATAATGTAATGAAATATAGGGCTTCCAATGCAGAAAAGTCTTCCAAAATGTTGTAAAGACAGAAAAGAAGCTAGTCTTTTAAAAAGGTCCAGATATAACCCTTTCCATATATGTTCTTAAAAGATTGAGTTATCTCTAGTAAGATGACCTGACAAAACCATTTGCCAAATATACTTCAGCTTAGATTCACCCATCAAATTGAAGTATTAATTTACTTTATACAGGTTGACCCATTGTAACAATGAGACATACATGACACCGTTGAAAATGAATTTTACAACTGCGAGGAGGAGGAGGAGGGAAGGAATAGTAGGGGAAAAACAAAGGAGAGGGTAATAATGCTGGAGAGGAAATGTACTCATTACCTTACTCATGTAAATATAACCCCTCTGTACAGAATCCTTACAATAAAAAGAAAGAAAGAAAGAAGTTGGGCACCTGTGGCTCACGCCTATAATCCTAGCTTCTCAGGAGGCTGAGATCTGAGGATCGCAGTTCAAAGCCAGCCCGGGCAGGAAAGAATGTGAGACTCCTATCTCCAATAAACCACTAGAAAGCTGGAAATGGTGCTGTAGCTCAAGTGGTAGAGTGCTTGCCTTGAGCTGAAAAGCTGAGGGACAGCACCCAAGCTCAGAATTCAAGCCCCATGACTGACAAAAAAAAAAAAAAGAAAGAAGAAATGAAGCTACTCAAATGATATAATTAGGATATATTAAGTGGAAGAAAACAAGACTTCTACAAAAGAAATAAAAAAACAAAATGTTCAGAAAGAGTAAATGTTTGTATTCATAGTAACTTAGATTCTGATATTTAAATTATGTAAATATGTTGTTCTTTATGTTATACTCACCTGGTTTATTCCAAACTTATTAAAATCTTAAGCATATGAAATTTGAGGAACTGAAATATTCAATATTATTGAACGTTGTCAATCATATAGTTTTTTTTCCTGTTATTTCCCTCAGCTGATTTCTTTTTTTTTTTTTTTTTTTCAGGAAAAAATGCTATTACACTGACGAGAGGAACAAATCAATGGGCAGGTTGGTGGGTGATGCATAATTTCTCTCTGACCAATATGTCATTCAGAAAAACTAAATAAAAATTCTTTGATTACCGATATCAGCAATTATAAAATTTAGGTTAAAAATTTCAATAATTTGTTGAAACTTTCCAAAATGACTAAATTTAATGATATTAAAGTAATCAAATTTAGCAATACCAAAAATAAGATCATTTATTTGTTACTATTACTTTCACCATTTCAGGAAACCTCCCATGATATATTATGGAAGGGGAACTGTAATTGCAAACTACCACTCGGAGACTTTTATTTCAGAGATCATTATGCAGTAATAGTCAGTAGATAAATGATTCTAAGATGACCTAGCAGAGACTTATGGACCATTCAATTCAGTTCTCTTATTTCATTGAAATGTTAAAGTCTAGCCTCCATGCCCATGTAATGGTACATAAAGTGGATTTTGCATCATAGATCTGCTCTTATTCTACCACGTAAGCTTCCTCATATGAAAAATGAACTTCTTTTCAAAAGTTTCACCTTAAAACATCAATTTATCACTGCTGACTGTTTAGTTGGGAGAAAGATAATTCCATTTAATGATTGCCCAAACACAAGGATTCATGCTCATGCATGTTGTTGGGTTTTGGCTGTTACTGTTGTTCATTGCAAAGAAAACTCAACAGATAAAATCTAAAAACATTTAATAGTATGTTGTGCTTAGTGATGCTGTAGGATAATGACACATCTCAGAAATCTATACTATGAGAACAGCATCTATGTTAGAGATTCACCAACTCTATTCCCCAGAGATTGTTGGTCTCTTTCTAAATACAAAATTTGATTGTGGTGGTAAGATTTTATGACAAAAGCATAAACCATGGAGGAAAATAACTTGAAAGTAGAATTAATATGACAGAAATTAATCCTGAACTCACTTTTTAAAAATTAATGTTGTTTCCAAAAAGCCAGACAAGTATTTCTGTTGTGGTAAGGTACTGATTTAGAATGAACTCTATTTCCTTTATGAATCTTGGTCTATGTAGAAAAGTCCCAAGTCATTTTGTACTAACATCAACATCATCGAAATGTTGTTATGTATAAATTTACAACTGCAGATTTTTTAATTTTTGTCATATGTGTGTGTATCTGTTCAGTATGAGATGATTTATATTTTTGTTTCTTTATTTCAATCTCCATTAGTGTGCTACCACAGAGGCAGTTTGACTGCATCATTACTGAGTTTTCTGTTGAATTAGGCATCTTTCCTTCAGAGATTTCCAAAATAAAAGTATTATTATATTAAAATCTCAAGAAAAGTTTATTTGCATAAATCTATTATAGTTCTGTTTCAGTTACCTAGTGTTTAACATTCATGGTAAATATTTGCACATTAAATCCTAAAGAAATGATTGTTAATACTGGAGAAATAGTCCTCCTTTCTATGTTAGTCACTCTTATGAATAAATAAGTAAAGTGAATACCATAGCATGTGTTTCATTATGTTTATCTTTTATATTATGGTTTTTGTTTTATAAAGTTAAAATTGAGTTATTAGTTATTCTAAGCAATTTTCAAAGTATCCTGAACTGTAATCAACTATTTTACATTTTATCTATTATTTTGCATTTTATCTTTATATTTTACATGCTATTTTCTATTAATCTATTCATTATTCTAAGCAAAGTATCGTGAATCTATTACTTATTATTGCTTTGTTCTTTAGTTTTGTGGATATGAATGAGGTGGAATAGGGAATCAATGCTGAAAGAGTTTACCCAATTTTATTGCATATTTAGGTGAAGAATGATCATCTGATTGATCTGAGTTAAGATATTCATTGAATAATACTACTACATTCTTTACTAAAGGCAATAAATTGCAAAAAAGCTAGAGTAATTGGTATATGAGCCATTTAATGTCTTCAACATATTTTTGTATTACCTCTGAGATAATAGTTATATGATTTTAAAGACATTATTTATAATATGGCACGGTAAAATAAATGTTGAGACTGCTTACTAATTATTTTATGCTATAAAATGGTGTGTTCTCTCCAAAGCTAAAAATGGCATGGCTTACAAATGGTCATCTTCATTGTTAGAGAACTAATCCAAGATTTTTATATCTTAAATTTCACAACAGAGGATGGGAAGGTGGCTCAGTGGTACAGTGCTTGCCTTGCATGCATGAGGCCCTGGGTTTGATTCCTCAGCACTACATAAGCAGGAAAAAAAGCCGGAAGTGGCACTGTGGATCAAGTGGTAGAGCCCTAGCCTTGAGCTGAAGAGCTGAGGGACAGCGCTCAGGCCCAGAATCCAGGCTCTACAACCGGAACAACAACAACAAAAATTCACAACAGATTTGATGCTTAACTTCAAATTTGTCATAGTAATTTTATCATAATAAAGCCAAATAAAATAGTTCTTAGGATGCAGTATTTGCTGGCTTCCCATTGCTGGCTTAAATTTTTATCTGAGGGTTTTTGCTTGTTTGTTTTGTTTTTAAGGCCAAGTATTGAAAGCCCATTATTTAGATGTAATATACTTTCCTAAGAACCAATTCTGTCTTGCCATTCAACTTAACTGTTGCATATAATACTAAAACTTGCTTCACAGAATATCATAAATAGTGTGCTAATATTACATGATTTTTTAGAGAACATAGCTGCTGTGACAATAACTTGGAGTTTTCACAATCAGCCAGTCTCACATCAGTGTTGTGGGAACATGTATTTATTTTCAGTATCCACTTTTGTAGAGTCCTATTGCTGACTTTTTTGTTTAAAGAATCTGTACCTCTAAAGAAATAGATATAGCTAGATATATATCCAGGTCCAGATTCAATGTAGAGATAGAGATACATACATGAATACACATATATCTTCAATAAATATAGTGCTTTTTAAGAATACTATTCGTTCTGCTCTTTGTGAGTAGTAATTCTTAAATATTTTCCACAGGATTTTTAATAAGGGTAACAGCTGTGCTGAAAGACTTTGAACACATTCTGGCTTTGTTTTCTTCTGTGTGGGAACAGAATGTGTGGGTGTGGGTGTATAGGTGTTTTTTTGGACTGTTTAGTACTTAAGGGTCCTGTGGTGAAGGATTATGATGGCTTTTGAATATAATCAAATCTAGTTCTAAAAGGAGACTTTGTTCCAGGGTACAAAATTATTTCAGAAGAATCAAAAAGTGGATGGCTCAAAACCCAATGGTTCTGGACAAGTCGGCTTTTCCAGACCTGGAGGAGTCAGACTGCTATACAGGTCCTTTCAGCCGAGCACGCATTCACCAGTGAGTTCCATTTTTTTCGACTATCTGCCTTGCTACATTTTGGTACCTGGAGCTTAATTATAGAAGAAGATACCAGTGGCCATTTCAATTTTTACTAAATGGATCACAGAATATATCACTGCATTAAAAATATACTTCATTTCTGAACAACACTTAGTCAATATTATGAATTTTTCATCCATTTTATGATTCAGAGACAGACAAGCAACAATCAGAAATACCTTTCAAGGCAATTACTGTGATAATCAACCAATTGAAATAGTACTGATAATACAATAGAATTTTAATTAATAATAGAATATTGTAATTAAGATATCAAAGCCATGCTATTTAAAATTAATATATTTATTAACTAACCTATTTTGGTTTAATTTAAAAAAACTAAAGTAAAAATATTTTCAGAGAATCTTAGATATCTCTCTATCCCTCTTTACCTACCTATGATGTTCTATGCTTATATATTTGTATATTCATTTAAGTAGCACTTATTGAGTTCTGTATGTCACAATTGAATGTAGAAGGGAGATTACTATTACAATTATATCTTGTACTTCCATGGTAATACTGGTCAAATTGTGCAGACAAAAAGTATAAATTTCTAAGTAAATGAAGCAAGGTAGACATAAGACAGAGAAATATGTAATACACTATAGGACCAAGGCTTTGACTCTACTTACACTGTTTGAAGTAAACTATATTTGGGGATATGGAAAGTTAAATGAAGAATGAAACAGAATTCCAAACCACCAAATATATGCATAACCAGATAACAGTGAGAAAACTTTGCCTTCCTAATACTGTATTTTTCCTATTACTTACTCCTAGAGATGAGTCTACAAGTTTTGAATGACATAATTCTAGAGAAATCTAAATGTCTGACAAGCTTAGAAAGAGGTTCTGGGGAGCATATTTAGCTTTTTGCTGTATATTTATTGGACCTCAATGTATCTATGGCACATCAGATTTTTTTAAAATGTTCCTATCTTCGAAAGCATAAGGAGCTAGTTTATCTTTGAAAACTTTCATATCCATCAGCTTATGCAAATGTCTTCTAAACTAATTTCCTCAATGCCTCCCCATTTGTGTTTATAATATAATTCAAAGCATGAATAATATAGACTCTGTGTCACATTCATTCTTCAGCATCTATATCTCCCACCAGTTACTTGATCCAGCCATGTTAATCTGGGCTCTGAATCAAATGCTCAGGTGTAGTCATGCTGCTTTATTTTTTTCTGTTCTCTCTGTCTGACAGGATTTGCTCCTAGATCTCTGCATTTTTTACTTACTATTTTCTCCTCCTATTTTAACATCACCACCTCCATGCCCCACCTTCTTGGTGCTGTTCTCTTTTTATTCTTATATATTACTTAGAATCTTATTTATTTGTTTACTTGTATCATGTTTAATTTGTCCATAATAGCAACTGCATGAAAAAAATGACACAAATATGCTTAAGAAATAGTTGTTTGGAAATGCTAAAGAATGTAATTGTAGCACAAAAGAACCATGAGGATGACAGATCCTTCTTCTGCATCTTGCAATTTGCTGCATCTGAATAAAGAGATAATACATATAATATTAGATGCTGAAGAGCTCAGTGTCTAATACAAAGGACAGATGCACAGACTGAAATAAAACAAGCCTGAGAAAATTAGTGAAATAGGAAATGCATAAGTAAATTGAATATTTGACAAAAGAAATGAGAGGGCCATTTTCAAAGGACAAGATCTGAACAGGCTTTTGGAAGGAGAGAGCCTACTTAGCAGGTAACAATATGGAAGGAGATGGAGAAAGGAAGAATGATAGACATTGAAGGTAGAGAAAAACACAAAGAAGAGATGCATGGAAATTAAAAGTAGTGGTAAATTTTACTCCTTGACAGATAATCAGATAGAAGGAACAGAATTGTAAGAAATAAGACTTGGTGGGTAGATAGGAGGGCAAGTATTGAGAGCCTTGGATGAAAACAAGAAATTCAATTATGCTCCTAATGGAGAGTTTATGACATGCTAAAGCTAGTAGGTGCTCTAAGGATCAGAGCTGTACTTTGGAAATCCAGTGAAAAATTGAATGTTGGGTTAGAACAGTCTTTTCACAGTCGAGGCAAGAGGGAATGACACAGGACAGAGGTAGAGTGAGAGATCGGGAGATGCAGTTGATTAGAACAGTTCCTTAGTGAGACAACTGTTTGTGTGCAGAGACTGGAGACACCAGAATCATAGAAAACCAAATACTTCGGGACTAAATGCCTGGTAAATGGTGCATTATCATTCACAGAGATAGTAGTTCCTGGAAACAGGAAGAGTCAGAAGCTGAGTGAGACCAACTTCACTCCTTGGATCAGACTCCTACTATATTATAAATCAATTGCTTTGTCATAATCTTTCTCCTCTTTACATCGTGGGCACTCCCATGAACCTTTCTTTCTACTCTTCTCACATTCAGCCAATGTAGGTCACCAAGGGCAGAGGAGGACTATTGCTGATTTCTGAGCTCTGTGAACAGGGTAAGCTTGGTTGGAGAGTGTGAATGAGGAAGGTATCAATGTTTAATGCATTCTATTCAGAACCACATTGCTCATATCAGTGCAACATTTATGTGAGGCAGTAGGAAGCTTGGTGTCTCCATTCTAAATAAGACTTTCTTGTAAACTGAAAGATTTTAAAGTGAATATCTGGTAACTCCCTGAATTTTCTATGCATGTATTTCATTTTTTCTGTTAGTTGATTCCCATCCCCAAGTTCTAACTTAATATACTTCATATACATTAGCTTCAAAGGAGGAAACAAAAGTTGATTACCTAAGAACTTGTATTTCTGGAAGGATTCTCTGCTCTGTTCTGAATATTAAAACCCATCTCCTTATCTTAACAGCTTTATAATAAACAATAAGGACACCTTCTTCAGTAATGCTACTCGAAGCAGAATTGTCTATCACATGTTGGAGCGTACCAAATATGAAAATGGAATATCAAAAGTGGGTAAGAACATCAAAGCTTGGAGAAAGTATATATTTCTTACAATCAGAGTATTGTTGTGGCTGTTATTTTGTCATTCCTGGGCTTTGAACATAAGACCTCATGGCTGCAGGCAGGCTCTTGATTGCTGAAACACCCCTCTAGCAAAATTGTTATTTAGCCACTGAAGCATTGACTTCATTCATTATGTGACTATATAATAGGATGAATACAACATCTATATGTTGCATTTTGCTACCTTTCATTTAAAAAAATCAAACATAATGTTTAAGGAGGTCACCAGAATATGAAATATATACATACCTTAGAATAGATTTCATTTCCCTAAATTCACCCAAAAATAATAAATTGGATGCTTTTAAAAGAAACATGAAAGGGCTGGGCACTCCTGTAATCCTAGCTACTCAGGTGGCTGAGATCTGAAGATCGTTCATTGAAGCCAGCCAAGGAAGGAAACGCTATGAGTTCTTATCTCCAGTACACTATTCAGAAAAAAGCCAGAAGTGGCACTGTGGCTCAAGTTGTAGAGCGCTAGCCTTGAGTACAGTCTCGCTCAGGGACAATGCCCAGGCCCTGAGTTCAAGCCTCAGGACCTACAGAAGGAGTGGGGGGGAGGGAGAAGGAGGGGGGAGGGAGGGAGATAGGGATGGGGAGGGAGAGTGAGAGGGGGGAGAGAGAGAAAGAAGGAAAGAAAGAATAAAAAGAAGGAAGGAAGGAAGAAAGAGAAAGAAAGAAATCAGAATGTCCACTGAACTGAAAATATGCTACATGATAATATCTACCATGGGTATATGTGCAATAATAAATATAGTAGTTGGGGGATTTAATTTTTTAAGTTCCAGGTATATTTTAGATATGAGACCTTTGTCCATTGTATGGCTAGTGAAGATCTTCTCCCAATCTGTGGGCTTTCTATTGATCTGGCCAGCTATGTCATTTGCCATGCAGAAGCTCTGCAATTTCATGCAATCCCATTTGTCCAACCTTTCTTTGATTTGTTGTGTTTCTGAGTCTCTTTTAAGAAAATTTCCGCCAGTGCCAACAAATCTTCAAAGAAGCAACTGCCCAATAAATAAGTGGGTTTAGAGAAATTTCTCTGAAGAGGAAAGAAGGATGGCCAATAGACACATAAAGAAATGCTCAACCTCCCTATCCATAAAAGAAATGCAAATCAAAACAAATCAAAAAAACATTAAGATACCACCTCACCTCAGTTAGAATGGCTATAATCAAGAACTTTAATAGCAACAGATGCTGGAGGGGATGTGGACAGAGGGAACCCTACTGCATTGTTGGTGGCAGTGTAACTTGTTCAACCACTTTGGAAAGCAGTATGGAGGTTCCTCAAAAGAGCTCCTCTATGACTCAGCAATCCCACTTTTGGGCATTTACCCAAATGATCACAAACAAGACCATACTAAAACTACCAGCACAACTATGCTTATTGCAGCATTATTTACCATAGCTAAGATATGGAACCAACTCAGATGCCCCTCAGTAGATGAATGGATCAAGAAAATGTGGTATATATACACAATGGAATTCTATGCCTCCATCAGAAAGAATGACATAGCCCCATTTCTTAGGAAATGGAAAGACTTGGAAAAAATGATATTAAGTGAAGTAAGCCAGGCCCAAAGAAACATAGGTCTTATGGTTTCCCTGATTTGCAATAACTAGTATATGTCTGAGACAAGCAGAAATGATCAGATAAGTTGATGTTAGGCAAAATGAACCCCAAGATAAGGACTCAAATGTTTTTTTTTCTTTCATGTGATTGTTTCTAACACATTTATAAGATTATTTCTTTGTTGCTTTGTATGTCCCTCCCCCACAGTGTAACCCCTACTTTCACTGTATTTGATGTTGGTATAAGTTGTGGAGGAGAAGGGAAAAAGCAAATTGTTTAAATAGGGATACAGATGGACCCATTGCAACAATGAGATGTACAAGATGTCATGTCGAAAATGAACTTTACAACTTTGGCGCAGGGGTGGGGGGAGGTCTGACAGGGAGGGGGAAGGATGGGAAGGGATGTTAAGGGGAAAGAAAGGAGAAGGCAACAATTCTTGATAAGAAATGTACTCATTACCTTGCCCATGTAATTGTAACCCTTCTGTATGGTATTTTCACAATAAAAAATAAATAATAAATAAATAAATATAGTAGTGAAGCATGGTGGTGAATACCTGTAATCTTAGCTACTTGGGAGAATGAGGCAAGAGAACCACTAGTTCAGCCTGCACAAATTAGCAAGATCATATCTCAAAGTTAAATTTTTTTAATATGGGGAGGATTAGAGTATAGTTAAGTAGTATAGTACTTGCCTGACACATCCATGACCTTAGGTTTAACACCTGCTACATTTTCTACCAGACATTTGATTTAAAAATAAAATTATTTGGGCTGGGAAGGTGGCTCAGTGGTAAAGTGCTTGCCTTGCATGCATGAGGCCCTGGGTTTGATTCCTCAGCACCACATAAGCAAAAAGAAAAAAGCCGGAAGTGGCGCTGTGGCTCAAGTGGTACAGCACTAGCCTTGAGCTGAAGAGCTGAGGGACAGCGCCCAGACCCAGAGTTCTGGGCCCACGACCAGACCCCAAAAAAATTAAAAAAAATAAAAATAAAAATAAAATTATTTTTAAAACTTTCTCTACATCAATAAAATATATAGATATATAATGACAATCAAAATTACATTCAATTCATTGTTGTCCCATTTTATAAAAGAGTATTTTACTCAAGTGCAAAGTATATTTTCAAAACATTTCAAATAGTTGTATCATATTCTATAATAAGCAATTAAGTACAAATTAATTGCAAAGTAACAATTATTCATTTTAACCATAGTAGTGGATAATGAAAGAGTTTTGTAATAAAAATAAAAGGATTCATCTGTTGCAGTTGTGCAATTATTTTTAATTCTTTATGAATATAAATAACATTACAATACATATATTATTCTCCTAAAAGGCTTCCTGACTGCCTATTCTCACAAGCATGGTGTTACAAGTTCACCATACTGCAGTCTGCTGAAATGAAAATTTTTACCGTGTCACATTGTTATTTAGGTCCCTTTGGCTAAGTATAAACAAAGACTTCCAAAATAACCTCCCAAGATATTTGGTAGGGGAGAAGAGTAAAATTATTCCTTGACCAACTTAGTCACTTTGAAGGTTAAGAAATAAAATTGTTCCTGGCACATGTGATTATAAGTAAGTGGATATTATTGTATGACAGTGAATTTGTGTGAAAGATCATAGTTGGTGTAGCTATGGAACTAAGGATATCATTCAATTAACCATTTATCCTTGATATATATATATACATATATATATATCTACATACATACATATACACAAACACATGCATTTAAACGTGATTCATATATACATATATACTAGTTGATTATGTGATTATACATACTAGTTTATTATGTATATTTCTCTGAATTTGGCTCAAATGTTTTATTTCTGTTTTCTTGTTCTCTTCCTAGGTATCCGTAAGCTTATAAACAATGGCTCATATATAGCAGCATTTCCCCCACATGAGGTAATTCTGAAAGACAACTTCCTTTCTCTTCCCTTTCCTCCCTCATTTCCTCCCTCCCTCTCTCCCTTCTCTTCTTCACCCTTCTTCCCTTCCTCTTCTTTCTCTTTCTTCTCCTCCTCTTCCTTCCCCTGCATATTCTCTCTCTCTCTCTCTCTCTCTCTCTCTCTCTCTCTCTCTCTCTCTCTCTCTCTCTCTCACCTTCTTGAGTTTTAGACTTAGGACCTCCACTTCCTAGGCAAGTTCTCTACAATGTGAACCATACCTGCACTGCTTTCTTGTTTTAGCCATTTCTCAGTCAGGGTATATGTTTTGTGCAGCTGTGATTACAGACATGAGCTTCCATGTCCAGGTTATTTTTTAAAAACTTTTAGTCTACTAGTGTCGTGCCTACCCCTGCCTCAATCCCCTCAATCACTGGAACGATGGACCCACTATATATCCACTTTCCAAGCAGCAGGGATTACAGACATGAGCTACTGTAAATTTCCATCAAAATAGATTTCCATGAAAATTTATTTTCTTGCTCAATGCATAATCCTATTTATTTCACTGGAGTCTGGTTCCCATAGCCCTTTAAGACTTCTAAGACTGTGTTATAAACTTGGGGCTACACACTGGCTCCGCTCCTCCAGAACACTTCTCAGTTTGCCTCATGTGAAGAATCACGGTCCCTGAGGGACTGACTATAGATTCAGAATGTAGAGCTCTATCCTTGGTCCAGCTTGAGATCCAAACAGGGCAGATCCCTCAATGTGCCTTCTATTTTAGGATACCTAAAAGTTGAAGACAAAGTCAAAATGGAAATCTGTAGTTTAAGACTTCTTTTTGAATCTTTGCCAGATCATTACTTCTCTCTCCGTTTTAAAAAAAAATTCTTTATGTTATTATCTTTAAGTAGTTGGACAAAGGAGTTGCCATTTAACAAAGCAGTTTATAAATACAATACTTCTTGTTCAATGTCTCCCCTTTCAACATTCTGATCCATCCCTCTCCAACCTACCCCTTCCTCACTCTTCTTAATTTTGTAGGATGTACATTGAATTCTTGACCACATTCTCTCCCTCTTCTCTTCTGTTTTGAGTAGAAATGCCTCTTGCACTCTGTGCTTGGCTTTGCCTACAATGAATAATACTTAAAATTGTTTTAACTCTTCCTTGCTCCCCAAATCTTCTTGGCTTCTTTCTTTAAGCCGATTCATATCTTAAGGTGAGGAGAATAGTTCTTTCGAGATTTCACTTCAAAACCAGCACTTTTATATTTATAAAGTAAAACAGAACATTAACAGGTTATAATATGTGAGTAATATTCAGGCCTGCAGAGACAATACTACATAAAATATACTAAGAAACTCTTATTGGTTAATAATTTAAATGTTTGATATAAATTCTCATTTGAACAACTTGCTAGGATAGACAAAAATACTAAATCAATATGTATATATACCTATATACATATACATTTATATACATACACATATACATATATATGTAATTGAGGTAGTAGAATGTCAAGTAGCAAGGGCAGAATTCTGAGCTTAGTGTACCAGCATCTAATTCTTACATAATTTATAAGTGTCTACTTAGAGAAAGAATGATAATACAACAGCCAATATATTTGTGTTTGCTTGTGCTAAGTTCTATGTTTGGATTTTCCCATTATTCTGACAAGAACAATGAAAGAAAATATATAATTATCTCCATTTTAAAGATAAAATAACCAAAGGCCAGAAAAATAGAACACCACTTACTGACTGCAGGGTTGGTGGAGTGTTCAGAATATCAAAGTTAAATCTCTAAGACAGACTTTTTAGAAAAGGAAACTACAATTTTTTTTCTGTGTGGTCATCTTCTCTACATAATCAGGCTGTATTCTAGGAGTCCATTTTACAGTTTGTGGGAACTTTAAGATCTGTCACAATTGGATTGTTAAAAATGTTCATGTTCACATTTATGCACGTAAATTAGTCAAGAAAAGCAAAGCAAAGAGTATCATCAAAATGAAAAGAGTAAAATAAAATTGGCTCAGGAATTTTGTATTAATTTTAAGTGCCAATAAGTCAAGGAAAGAGAAGCTAGTTAAAAAGAAATGAGCCAATGACATTGTCTACATGCTGTTTTATGAAAATACTTCAAAATGGACCTCTTACTTTGTTCATGGAAACTTACTCTCTTATGTAGCATTCGAAAGTGGAAGAAAACTTTCCTGGGAATGGACCATGACTTAAAACACAGTAACTTCATTTCTTAACCAAAAATCACATCAATTTCTGACATCTATGGGGGAGACATTATTTTACTTAAAAATTGTGCATGTCCAAACAGTAAAACTTGCAGGTCTCATTTAAGTAGAATGAACTCCAACGGTTAGAAGCAATTGATTTATGCAATGATTTTCATCGAAACCATCAAGGTATTTCCAGCAACAGTAGCTGTTAGTCTAACCTTCTCTACCTTAGGAGCCTGTCTTAGGCCCTATAGCCTATCTTAAGCTCTGCTGTAAAGCAGGGCCTTTCCTGAAATGAGCTAACACAGGCCTTATCTTACCAGGTGATGCAGGCAACCCTAAACAATACACACACACACACACACACAACAAATCCCCTACTCGCACATAACTCACAAAATCCAAGCTCTCATGCAAGCCAGACTGCAGAGTACTCCCTGCACCTAGAACAATTCCCCACCCCCAGCCCCTTAGCCATATAAACCCCCTTGCTCAAGGACAAGTGCCATCCCTGCTCGAGAGGGTCAGCTTGTCAGCCTGCTGACAATAAAGTTGAGTGACCTGGTGTCCCCGTGGCCTTCCGGGCTGAGGATTACAGAAGCATCTCCAACAACATCCTAATTTGGGCTTCAGTCATCAATCTCTGAAGCCTTAGTTAAATCGTTACATTATTCTGCAAAGAAAAAAAGTTTTGTTTAGTTCAAATTTCAGTGAATTATCCGTTCATATTATTGTATCTGTTGCAGGGAGCCTACAAAAGTAGCCTGCCCATCAAAACTCATGGGCCTCAGAATAACAGACACCTGTTGTACGAGCGCTGGGCACGCTGGGGAATGTGGTACAAGCATCAGCCTCTGGATCTAATCAGGTACTGTACATGCACTGATGGAGTAAAGCAAATTGTGCTGCTCTGTTGTCATTTTAATGGACTAGGAAATTTTTCTTATCAACCACATCATACCTATCAATGAAGATATCATCTAGAAATAACAACAACAACAACAACAAAAATAACCACTCTGATTGTGCCAGGATAGGAACTTAATGCAGAGAATTGATTACCTAGGGGATGGGAAAGCATAGAGATAAAATAAGACTTGGAAGTTAGCTAGGAATTAACAACAGTGGAGATGACAACATCTCTAAGGCTGGAAGAGAATTACCATCAGGTATAGTATCAGAATCCAAGACCTGGGCCACAGCGAGGTACATAAGCCTAGAAAACACCAAGCGGAGGAGGAAGATCCTGGCATAATCCCTTCCTTCCATCTTTAAATCTTCTAGTATCTCATAATCCAACTAAGCCATAGAAAATATAAGTAATCTAATATTCTAGGAAAAGCAAAGCAAAGAGAAGCAAAAAGGAAATCTTAGAACAAAGAGGAAGTGACCAACAGAGCCATGATGTATATGTAATAATACCTCTCCTCCACCCCACAGAGGAATTTTGTTTAAGGAAAAAGTGCCTTTATTGCATTACTTGCTAATATAATAAACTGCAGTTTCAAGCAGAACCTTATGATTGTATGAGGAATGAATAGACTATTGACTGATGTTTCCAAGGAGAAATAAATAAAAAGAAAAAATAGATTAATAATGCATTATAAAGAATGAGTCCAAGTCTACACTGGATGAAATATGTACAAAACTTAACTGGCATAGTATAAAGAATGAAGAAGAAAGAGAATAGCTTTTGCAAATGGAAACTTTGTATATGAAGAAAAATCACAAAAGTATTACCTTCTCAGTTTCACTGCTAGTGAACTGAAAAGCATCAATCTTTAAAACCATAGTTGGAAATGAAAATGTGTTAGTAACCATCTTTAGAAGATAGAGGCTTCTTTTAACCAGACTTTTAAAAACAACATTACAGTTAAAATAGCAGAAAGCTAAGTGAAGAAAAACTAATAGACTAGATGTCAGGATTTTATCATTCTTCTTCCATAAGCATTCTTCTTCTATAAGCAATGTTGGTCAACTTTCAGACTATAAAGTATATTCTTTTTCTGAATTCTTCCTATGGTAATTGTTAGTGAAGTCACACCTTCCAGTTTCTAGTGGTACTTGCTAATGAAACAACACACAGATCTTCCTTCAAACAGCTAAAATTGTTATAGAGAAGAGAAACAATCTAAAAGAGATGCAGAGTTGCAATAAAGTGTTATGAATTTCTGGTACCGAATAAAAAGGTTTGAGGGCAATGTGGGAGCAGGAGTAAGACATCCAGTAAGTGTGGGAGAACAGAGAGAAAACTCCTTAGATCAACAACAATAATAATACAGAGAATAGGATTAAGATGCTTTTAATGTACTATGTGAAGTTATTTCTTTTTTCTTTCACTCTTTTTTTTCCTATGTTTTTCCCCCTGTTGTCACTGTATTTGATTTCGTTATCCTGTAGTATAATATATATATATATATATATATATATACACATATATATATGTTTATCTGAATTAGGGAAAGAAAGGGGAACAACAAAATGGTGAGACAAAAGATAAAGGGGGAACCAATGCAACAGTGACACTCACAAGACAGTATGTTGTACATGTACTTTACAACTTGGGGTGGGGGTGCTGCATTAAGGGGGAAGGGAAATTGGGAGAAAAGATTAGGAGGGGATAACAGTGTTCAGCAAAAAATGTTGAATGTACTCCTTACCTTATGTATGTAACTATAACCCCTCTGTACATTACCTTGACAATAAAATTGTGGAGGTGAGAAGGAAAGGATGGTAGGGGAAAAACAAGAGGCAACAATGCTTGATAAGAAATGTACTCATTACCTTGCTCATGTAACTGTAACCCCTCTGTACAGTATTTTCACAATAAAAAATGTATTAAAAAAGGAAGGAAAGAAAAGAGAAAGGTATTAAGCATTCCAAAGGGAGGAATCAATGTTAATCAGGAAGACAATATGTTTCAGATCTTCAAAGAAGATCTCCCGCCACCAGGGGGTAGACTGTGTATAATGTCACTCCTTGTAGCCAACAGTGCAGATGGAGACAGAAATCTACCTCCTTTCAGCATCCAGTCAGAGGAAAATCTTTTGTTAACTTATACAAAGGTAATATGAGATAATACAGCTCTGTGATATACAGACTAAAAAGGACTACTACTATGGGGATGGAGGAAGAGGCCATCGTTTATAAAATCTCATAATTCAAATGAAGAACAACCATCAAGATGTATTTTAATCACAAATGACTTTGTTAAATGGAAACTCCTTTGTACAACTAAATATGATTTTAAAAATAAATGTTAACATTTTGCCATTAGGAGCTTTCTAAACAAGTAAGTATCAGATACCCTAGTCAGAGGTGAGGAGGAATTAAGTTTGAAGCCTGTTTTCATCTAACAGTTTTACTAGCTGTGGTATCAGTGTTTGTAAACCCATTTATGTTGCCTTAACTGAAGGTGAAGATTTGCTTTCTCATTCAGGCTGTACTTCGGTGAGAAGATTGGGCTGTATTTTGCCTGGCTGGGATGGTACACCGGAATGCTCATTCCTGCAGCAGTTGTTGGCTTGTGTGTTTTCTTCTATGGATTAATAACAATGAATGAAAGTCAAGTAAGGTATGTGTTGAAAAGACATCGAAAATGATCAAACTGTCTTTGGAATAAGGGAAAAGTTTAAGGATCGTGTTAACCACTAAAATGTAATTCTACCAATGCAATTTATTTCCTGTTTTTGTGGGTTTTATTTAGGAAAGAAGCACTAAAATAAGGACATTTTAAAACTTTCATATGAAAAATTATTTTGGACAAGATCTATGACTACTTAACGTTATGTTAAATTTCTCTTCTCTCCAAATTTCATATAACAATTTAAAAATTGTAGTAGGATGGGCTTTGACAAGCATTAAACAGCTGTCAGAAGGGAGATTCTTTTGTTAAAGTTAGAATGACTCAAGACTTGAAATAGGAATGCATTATTCCTAGAAACTCATTATTATTCAACAGACATTATTCAACAGAGAAAATCATGTTCTGTTTAATATATAGAACAAGTATAGCATCATGTTCAGCCTTCTGTGATTAAATGCAAAACATGATGAAATGCTGCCCTCTTCTTTATCGAAACTCAGTGCTTTCTTTTACTTTGGCTCATCTTTCAGAGATATTTTTGCCACTGGACATTATTCATAGAAGCTAAGGCTGTGAGATTCATCACAGAATTATAAAAAAAAATAGTTTCCCTGAAATTCCTTCAAAAATGTAACTGTATATGTGCCTGGTGTATTCATATGTGTATAGCATTCTTGCCTAAAAGCAAATATCTTCATTATCCTATAGTTGAGGCCTACTCAAAAATACAGACCAGGGGCTGGGAAGGTGACTCAGAGGTAGAGTGCTTGCCTTGCATGCCTGAGGCCCTGGGTTCGATTCCTCAGCACCACATAAGCAAAAAGAAAAAAAAGCCGGAAGTGGCGCTGTGGCTCAAGTGGTAGAGCGCTAGCCTTGAGCTGAAGAGCTGAGGGACAGTGCCCAGGCCCAGAGTTCAGGCCCCACATCTGGACCCAAAAAAAAAAAAATACAGACCATTATTTTAATATTTCAGAGTCATTCATTCTTAATGAGGCCAACTGATAATTACTATGAAAGCAATACTCTTAAATTGCTAAAGAAACCTAAATGGGAAGAGAAAATTAACAGAAAGTTAAGCAGTCATGGATCTTGTCTAACTTTTTTTTATAGGAGTTTCAAAATGACCATTTTATAGTGCTTCTTTCCTAAATAAAACCACAAAAACAGAAAATAAATAGCACTGGTAGAATTATATTTTAGTGGTCAACATGAGTCAACAGTGTGACTCAGACTTTTGCAAACTTAGCATGATTCTAGAAGATAGTCTTTTCCTGGACAGACTTCTATCCACTCTAAATATCTTGCTTTAAAAAAAAACCCTCATGGGCTGGGAAAGTGGCTCAGTGGTAGAGCACTTGCCTTGCATGCACGAGGCCCTGGGTTTGATTCTTTAGCACCACATAAGCAAAAAGAAAAAAAGCCGGAAGTGGCGCTGTGGCTCAAGTGGTAGAGTGCCAGCCTTGAGCTGAAGAGCTGAGGGACAGTGCCCAGGCCCAGAGTTCAAGCCCCACGACCGGACCCAAAAAAAAAATCCTCATTTGGTTACTTTCTTGTGTGCTATTTAGTCACTAATCTTTAGGGATCAAAGGACAGGCTGAAATTTAGAGTTACAATGTCTTGAAAAGAAAAAAATCATTCTTTTACAGTGAATTAATCAGTATGGAAAATGGTTCTCTAATAGCTTTGTGTAAATTGGTTCCATGGAAAATATTTTAACAAAGTTTTACCATGAGATATAGGCCTCCTCCCTTCACCCATAAGAAGCTGAAACCGAAGAAAAGAAAACTGTTTTCCTGTTCTTATTGGTTTTTCATACCAGTGGAGTAAATTGGCCTTCTTTTGTGTGAAATAAGTATTCTTTAACCTTTAGTTCAAAAGTATTTTTAAAAGGAGTTAGTGAACTCTTTTTTTTTTAGCACTTTATGGTATTATATTACTGCAACCTCTGTCATACTATAATTAAGATCCTGTCAGACTTTCTATTCTAAACCAAGATACGCAGCAGTGAATATCTTGACTTTCAAAATTTGCGGACTGAAATTTTCCATTCAAGGTGTCAGACACGGTTCAGTTGTAGGTCTTATTTTGGTGAGGAACAAGGAGTAGCCTGGATTTATTTTGTGTTGATTAATATTAGTATTATATTTAGCTCCTTTTTGTGTACTGCAACATAGGAAAATGTTAAAATTCTGGAATGTGAGTTTATTTGTTGTATTTCTACATGATGTAGCCAACTAAACTACAATCATTAATTGCTTTAATTAATTGTCTCTTAATTGCTTTAATTAATTACTAATGTATATAGTAACCAATTTTTAGATCATTGCATGAATGTAAGCATACATATACAGCTATGTATGCAATAGACCTACAGATACAGAGTGCTCATATTTGCACCTTGGAGGAAACAAAGCACAGATATTAAATGAGTAGGCAAGCATGTGTTCTCTGCTTCTCAAGAGTCTAAGTTTTAAAACCAATTCACAGAGTAGAAACCCCGGTTTTCCAGTCCATTTCTGACTCTCTCACATCATAATTTATCATGCAATCTATGTCATCTTCAGTATCAACCAGCTTTGCAAAAAAAGTTGCTATTTCTTAATGAAACCCCTTCCCTTAGCAATAATGATTTCTTCCTTTTATCAGGTGGCAGTAGTACAGCTAATAAAATATCAATATCACATAAATAATATCCCAGTTACAATCCTAATCTAGAGACAAATTCATTTTCAAAGAAGTAAGAGACTTGTTCAAAGGATGGGTAGATAGAGAGATAGATAGAGAAAGAGATAGATAGATAGATAAAGAAATCTGATATATTTCAGATACTTGTAGTTTATTATTTGTTGTTAAAATATTACTATGGTGAGAACACACAATATAAGCATAATGCCATACAGAAGTTTCTAGAGCTTATATATCTTGTCCACATAAAACTTTGTATTCATTTTCCACTATTCCCTGTTTTCCTTCATTCTCAACTCCTGAGAACCATAGACATACTCTATTTGGTGTATATGTTGACTATTTTAGATACACCACATCTAAATATGTTTGTCTTTCTGGGACTGGCCTATTTCCCTAATCATAATGAATTCCAGGTTTATCCTTGTTGCTGTATATGCAGATTTTTCTTTAAGTCTAAGTAATATTGCATTTTACATATACATTATATTTCTTTTCTTTGTCCATTTATCAACTTCTGGCAGCTTGGAATATTTCTGTGTTTTGCAGTATTTTAAATAAAACTTCAGTGAACATAAGCGCAGATAGCTAGCTCTTCAAAACTCTGACTGCATTTCCCTTGAAGTACTGTGGATCATACAATAGTTCTACTTTTGACTTTTTTGAGGACCTTATACAACATTTTCCATAGCAGCACATCATTTCAGATTCTTTCAGTGTACAAAGGTTCTTCTAATTTCTCCACATCCGCACTAATACTTATTTTCTGCATTATTTTAATGTAATAGCAGTCCAGTATGAAGATGTAACTCAGTCATAGAGCAATTTCCACACATAATCAAGGCCTGAAGTTCAGTTCTTAGAAATCCCCAGCAACAAATGCTCAAGACGTAAATTACAGTACCAATTCTAATAGGACAGAAGCCTTATTGTAGTTTTGACTTACATTTCTCTGATGATTATATCTGATTTTAAAACAAACATTTTATCCATGGTATCATATTGTTGTCCTTTAAACCTATCTTCACCTTATGCTCCACAAATCTATGTCACAGATTTTTTTTTTCTTCTACTTTTAGTCATGTTATCTGAGTTACTGGAAGCATTAGGATCCTGGGATGAGGGAGCCCAAAAATCCATCCAAAAGACATCTTGCTTCTTTTTAAATGTGTAATAATTGTCATTTCTTTTTTTAAAATTTCCTCATAAGCGTATCTACACATCAAGTGAAAGCATGGTGCAATTAGAATAAAAGTTCTGATTGTCAGGACCTAAGAAATCAATAAACATTTATGATGAGACCTCTACTTCCCTCTAGTGGTTAACTAGAGTCAAAAAAAGTCTGTGATTTCCAAATCTCTTCAGGCTAAAAAACTGAAAGAAAAAAAAAAAGACTAATATTTTTTGTTGTATATTGATTTAAGCTTCTGGCAACGTATAGCAAATGAATTTAATGATTATGACAGTAAGAAATAGAAGGTTGTCTAATCAATGGAATTCAAAACTCTTAAATCTGGGCTTGTTGAAGGTAGAAAAGTTTATGTCCTATAAAATATCACTGATACTATTTTGTATGAGTTTTCAGTATAGAATAAATTGAAAGCATTTATGAAGCATAATAAAGGTAGATAGACCCATTCAGTTAAAAGTTTCTTCTTCAGGAAGTAAGCTAATTCTTGTTTCTAAAAATTATTAATATTGCAAAGAGAATATGGAATCTTCTTTTATTTTCTTTACAGTCTTGAATTGCATGTTTTATCCTACTTTATATAGATATGCTGATTACTAGCAAGATGACACTGGAACATGTATATTATATAAAGCATAGTCCATTGTCATTATTGTTGATAGGAAATTTTTCTTTAAGCATGTATAAGTATTTTTAAAACATGTCTGTAAAAATTCTTTTACATATTTTATAGTTAATGGAGAACTTGATCTATAGTCAGTGAAACTTATACAAAAAGCTCTATGTTAGCAAGCAAATCACTTAAAATGATCATTAATTTCCTCTTCACAAAGGAAATAATTACCATTTTCTGCTATTGAGGTGAACTCTAAGGGACTTAAAGGTCATGACTCCATCTTTGCCCACAGAAACTGTTACACCATTTTATTCTATTACTAACTTACTGTTATTTTTTCATTTTGTCTTAGGTTACAAACATCTCAAAATACACATGGATTTATTTTTGCTTTAGCATATGCCTTCTTTAAGATAGCAGTTCTGACTAGATGCACTACCGATTAATAATTAACAGTCACATATTTTCTAAAGACTAAATTCCTTTTAGCATCCCCAGAATAAATTTATTTAAAGAAATTTTACTCAGAATCCATAAACTGGCAAAGAACTGCATAGGACAGAAAAGTTTAGGTTTATATGAACATACGTGCAGACAAACATACCAAAACTATGTTGCTATGAACTCTGAGTATGTATCAGATATTGATGATGGCTCTGTATTTCTGTCGTGAAGCCATATATAATGTATACTGAGCTTTTTACAAAAGAATTAGTGTCCATAAAATGGAAAAAGATGTGCCATAAATTACATTGTAATTGACAATGTATTTAAGTCAATAGAAACTATGGAAGGTTGTCATGACAACATGAATCAAGACAACATGCTGTCAGTCAGCATCTGCAGCAATATTATATACTGGGATGTAGATTGTAAAGGTGTAGTCAGATTTAATGCCAGCGCAGCCACTTTGAAGCCTGTATAATTGATTAAAAGTCTATTTCTTCCCAGATGTGATCATCACTCCACGCACCTGGGAGTAAGAGATACAAAGAACTAGAATTTGAGATCAACTTGGCTTAGGAAATAAGACCCTATCTCAAACAAATCAGATGAATAGGCAGAAAGCTCCAGTGATGTGTACTCACAGTATTATTCGGAGGGCCATGACAGTATATATAAACAACCAAATGAAAGCTCCATAAGTATCACACAAGTCTAAAAGATGATGTATTATCATAAGAATATTTTGATCGTTTCCTAAAGAAGTATAGGAAAGCCTTTGTATCACACATATCTTAAACCACTTAAATTGAAGCCATAATCTTGTTCACCAAGTCTCCATCTTTGCTTCTTCCCTTTTCCTTCAGCCTTGCTGTTCCCAGCAAGGTGCTTCAAGCTGCTAAGCAGATTTCTAAAGATATTCATGGGTTTTTTTTTTCTTTGATTTCTCAAGCCAAGAAATTTGTGAAGCCACTGAAGTGTTCATGTGTCCTCTGTGTGATAAGAATTGCTCATTGCAGAGACTCAATGACAGCTGCATCTATGCCAAGGTAAGCTCAACCTTCACATTCTCCTCCCTTAGCCCTGAGAAGTTCTCATCCCAAATCTACTCATCTCAGTTCCAGGAATCATAGTGTCAGGGACAAGTGAGAAAAACTGTTGAAACTACAAAGAGAGTATATATTAATTTAAATATATCATTTTAGTAATTAGAGCTTATAACTTCCACCATGGACACAAACTTATACTTGAAATTGCTTCTAGACTTTTTATGAGAACAAATGTTTCCATTAAGGACTCCATTTGTGCTGTCTGTGAAGGCTCAGGAAGGTAAAATACTTCTCACTCTACAGATAGAATACAATAACATACCAAAAATTCCCAAGCAGCCATCTACTAGAATTACCTGAAAGATTATTGAAAACTTGAAATCCGGACTACATGCCAGAAAGTATAAATCAAAATCTTCAGATTTTTTTACCTTTCTAAAAGACATTATGGTTCCGGGCACCTGTGGCTCATACCTGTAATCCTAGCTACTCAGGAGGCTGAGATCTGAGGATTGCTGTTCAAAGCTAACCCAGGCAGGAAAGTCCATGAGACTCTTATCTCCAAGTATCTACCAGAAAACCGGAAGTGGTGCTGTAGCTCAAGTGGTAGAGTGCTCACCTTGAGCTGAAGAGCTGAGGGACAGCACCCAGGCCCAGAGTTCAAGCTCCACGACTGATTTTTTTTTTAAAGTATGTTCTAAAGTGTTCTAGGTGATTCTAATGTCTATAAAAGTTTAAGAAAGCATGCACCTTTACCAATAGTATGCTTTATTGTAAAATACTTTTGTTGATGTATAATTAACTTAGAGTGAAATATGAATATTTGAAGTATACAAATTGCTATATTTTGTTATATATACATATATTCATGTATGTATGTATGTATGTACAAACATATGTATGTGTGTGTGAAATCATCAATCAAAAGAATATAACTGTCACCTCCAAAACTTTCCTTACACTCTCTTCTAGTGGCTACATTTCAGCCCTCCCTCATACTTCCCCTGTGTTCTGGAACATGACAGCTATATGATTAACCTTTATTTTATTCTATTTTCTGTTACTCTGATGAAATATCCAAGGCAGTCTACTTTATAAAGAAGAGATTCATTTTAGCTTATTTTGTTTCTGGAGATACAAAGTCAAGGAGAATCATCTAGTGATAGCCTTGTTGTGGCAGGGTCCTGACCTGGTACTAAGCAACATCACAAGGCAAAAGATGGAGCCACATTCATCTTTCCAAGAACACGAGATGTAATGGAGAATTGATGGCTGTTTATGCTCACTTCAATTAACTCTTCATGTATTATCCCTATTCATATGGACAATGCTGCTCAAAATGTTTGTTTACATATCATTTTATTCATTAAAGCAAGCTATTTTTTTTCTAAAAACATACTTTATTGCAAATATATTTCTTTAGGTAGAGCAAACCATACTAAAGTTAGCAGCACAACTGTATTTATTGCAGCATTATTTATCATAGCTAAGATATGGAACCAACCCAGATGCCCCTCAGTAGAAGAATGATCAAGAAAATGTGGTATATATACACAATGGAATTATATGCCTCCATCAGATAGAATGACATTGCCCATGTGTTAGGAAATGGAACGCCTTGGAAAAAATTCTATTAAGTGAAGTAAGCCAGGCCCAAAGAAACATAGGTCCCATGGTTTCCCTTATTTGCAATAACTAGTATATGTCTGAGTCAAGCAGAAATGTTCAGATAAGTTGATGTTAGGTGAAATGAACCCCAAGTTAAAGACTCAAATTTTTTTTCTTTCTTGCTATTGTTTTTAACATATTTATAAGATATGTCTTTGTTGCAAACCACCTTTTGTTTGGGTAAGAGTCTCTCATGCTGCTTGTGGAACTGCCTCAAAATTTTCATCTGGGGTTCCTTCAGCACAGCAGGTATTCTTGCCCTATGAAAAAGCAAGTTTACTCTCATTTTGTTCTCTTGCCAATTATTTATGATGGAAATTTGAGTCATCCACAGTGTGCTGGGCTCCATTATTGCTGTCTCCTTCCCTTTTCAATTCAGTGCCCTAAATGAAGCTCTTAACAACTTAACTTATAATTACAGATTCCCAAATAACTGTCCCCAATATGTCCAATGTCTGTCATCTCCAATATCCTGCTACATCCCATGTGTAAGGTATTAGAAAATCTATAGACAATGATTTACATTTTTGGTACTCTTGATTAGGTAAAGTACTAAAGTCTTCTCCAACCCTCCTTATAGCTTTCTCTTTCATTACATCTATGTAATCTCAGGTTATAAGACTATTTTATGTACAGTAAAACTAATAGATGACTTTCTAAAGGAGTGTGTAAATTTATTGAATTTAAAACATTCCTGAAAGATTTCTAAATGAATTTTACAAAGAAAGAAAACATGCAAATTGCTCCAAAAGTCAACAAACTGTGACAAATCATGCCCACCAGGACAAAATGGTTCAATGTGGCTCTTTATCCGCTACTTTTCCACAGACATTTTTTTTTTTCTGAAGCAGGAAAGAGATACCATTTCTTACTGACCTTTATAGCCACCTATGTGAAGTCTCAGTCCTATCACTGCAGGGACATTTCCAATACTCCGCTTATTTAAAAAGGAAAACCAACAGCTGTTTGACAATTGAGAAGCTTCAGGTGTCTCTGTGGGGTGTCTTTGCACACAAAGAATCTCGCTTCCCCTGCTGGGGGGGTAATTTTATGAGCTCTACAGGAGACATTCTTTAAGATTTTTTTTTCTCTCTTGAACATAAAAGATGCTGACAAATACTCTAAAAAGCAACTTACAACATTTTTAGAACTCTCAAGCTTTGATAGAGAATTTTACAGCCATAGTAGGATACTTTATATCTAACCACAGGTCTTCAAAAGGAGCATATCTTTTTAGGATGGTATTTTAAAGAATTCTATGTTATGGAAAAGCAGAAGTTCCAATTACAATGATCATTATTAGTGTTTAGTGTTCCAGCCAGCACTCTGAGCAAGGGATCTCACTGAACCTTCAGTTGGCCTCACCCTCCTTCCCATGTTTTCTCTACATGGTTATCACCCTTTGTCTACAGTTACACTTTTTATCCCCTTCAGTGCCTTGATCTCAGAGCCTAGGTGCTGTCTTTGAGCTTTTTTTCTCAAGTCTAGAACTCTACCATTGAGCCACAGCTCCACTTCTGTCTTTTTGGTGATTAATTAAGGTGCCTCAAAGCTTTTTTCTGCCCAGGCTGTCTTCAAAACCTTCTCAAATTTCAGTCTCCTGAGTAAGGAGGTTTATAGACATGTGCCACCAGTTTCACACTTGCAGTTTCACTTTCCATGGTCTTATTTACCTGCATTCATAACTGCACTCTGCACAGTAAAGAAACGAGCAGAAATTCATGTCATAAACTGTATGATGTTCTGGACACCATGATGAAATCTTGTGCCAGTCCAGTGTTCTGTCTGGACTGTGAATCTCCCTTTAGACAGGCACATTTAGACGTGCAGTATACACAGTATCAAATCCACATTCTTAGTAGTACAGTACTTATGTTCAAGAAGCTCTTACTTAGGCAATTTTATGCAGTCTCACAATGCATCTTTCATTCATCACATTTCATCTGACCATATGGACATTCTATCATCTCACATTATCACAAGAAGAGTAAGTATATTCTTCAGAGAAGGACTACATGAATTATGTGGTTTCTAATATATTGCTATCTTATTCCATTTGAATACTGTTATTAAGCTCTTATTTGGTCAAATTTATGTATCAGAGTTATATATTAGGAAAAAGCAGGAGAGAGAGAGAGAGAGAGAGGGAGGCTTGGTACTATCTGCAAAACTTCAGATATCCACTGAAGTTCTGGGAAACTATTCCCAACGGATAAAGGAAGACTACAGACTACTCTAGTTTCTATTGTATTTGTGTTTGTGCTAAATATTTCTTGCACTGGCTGAATTAGTTGAATCTCACAAATGTATATAGTGAAAATTTTATGCAAACTAAAACACACAAAAGCACATTGGATTTTATTTAATATGGATTTTATTAAAATCAAATAATACTTGCAAGTCTGAAAGTGGTATTCAATAGCATTGCCTGACTGTACATTGTTATTTATCAAGTTTCAGATAACAATGAAAAAAGAAAAGAAAAGAAGAAAAAATAAAAACACTGTTCAGTGATTATGGAACTTCTTACAACAATGCACAATGGAAGATATTAGATGTAATAAGGCACTATTGGACATGTTATAATCATGAGAGAGTGGGAATAGTGCTGTGGTACCTTTCTATTGCAGGCAATAGCTCACTAGCAAATCTCCAAATTTTGTTTGTTCCATGTTCCTGGAAGTTTGGCTAACAGGAAATTCAACTTCATATATTTTTTCCCCCTGAAAAGCTAATTCCTTCATTTCATCTTATTGTTTGGACATTTGTGGTCCAAAAATACTTCCTTGGGGTACTAGAAAAACTTCTAAACTGAAATGAATTTGTAGTGCAAAGGAAACTAGGGGGAAGAAAGAAGAGCACTGTCATTCTCTCATTTTTTTTTCCTGTATAACAATCACATTAAACAGTTGCTGGACCCATGGAAGGATCCATCAACTATATTTACAATCTATGAAATACTGTGATTTCACATTGGATTGTTATAATTACTCACATGATTAATATTTTTATGTGTTTTCCATTAAGGTGACATACTTATTTGATAATGGAGGAACAGTCTTCTTTGCTATTTTTATGGCAATATGGGGTAAGTATGTTCTTTCAGTACTTTCTAGCTCTTATTTGCTAAGGATATTTCTGTGTTACTTTACACATGCACACACATGTATGTGCAAAAAGTCTCTAGGCTAGCACTTGCATTGTTATACTCTCTTCATAAACTCATTACTTCAGGGGAATTTAACTCTTGACCGAACTCTCTAATCTTTAAGGTCAAGACTTTTCTACACTAAGAATTAGAGTGTGTGTGTCAGAGACAGGTGATAATTTTAAACAAATTAAAAAACATTAAAATTCAGATTAAGTCAGTGCCAATGGCTCACTCCAGTAACCTTAGCTACTCAGGAGGCTGAGATCTGAGGATCGTGATTCAAAGTCAGCCCAGGCAGGAAAGTTTGTGAGACTCTTATTTCCAATAAACCACCAGAAAACCAGAAATGGTGTTGTGGCTCAAGTGTTCTAGCCTTGAGCTGAAGAGCTGAGGGACAGTGCCCAGGCCCAGAGTTCAAGCCCCACAACTGACAAAAAAAAAGTTTCTTGCAAAAGTGATAACCAGAAAATTTTCATTTGCTTAATAATGCTATTTATCTCTTTTAAATGTTCAAGCCCATAATCTTGGAAATGTAGAATTTATTCCATGTATTAAGCACACAATACTGTCAATATATAATAAGCCCTATTTTCATCTAACTTGTTAAAATCATATAAATTATGTATATGAATATATTCATCACCATGTTTCTCATTGAGTTTTTAGGAATTAATTTAAACCCAATTACAGATATACATATATATGTATATATGTATGTATATTTATAAGGTGAATGAGACAGAATGAGATAAAGATAGAGACAGAGGGGAGAATATGTACTTTCAGCTTAGTTGGAATACTCCATTTAGGGAAGATATGACATCTTGCCAGTGTCAAATTCCCTACAATGGTCTTCTTGCATAAAGCTCTTATTACCTTAGCAGCTCAGTAGGCTGGCAATGTATGTGCTAATGAAAAGAAAAATGAAGGTCATAGATGTCTCTTATTCCTATTATCTTAATTTCTCAGTGGCAGAAACCCAGGACCCTAGCAGCTCTCTAGCTGTAAAACTGTTTTTATTATTAAATTTTCCTCAAGCAAATGTTAATCTTGTTTGGTGGACCTAGAACTACAGGCAAATCAGTTAAAGATTCAATGCATTGGGTTATGTTAGGGGAAAAAATGTGAAAATATAATTTGAGTTCCCAGTTGTTGAAGATTTTAATTCTGAACTTATCAGGCAGTGATAACATGTGATGTCTTTCTTAGCCATACTTGATTCCACAAAGTTATTCTACTAAGACAAAAATAAGCCAAGTTAGAAAATATGGTTAGGTCATAGGTGCTTTTTCTCAGCCAGAAGTTGTAAGAAAGGAAAACTTTTTGACGATCTAGTTCCTTTGTTTTCCAAGATTAGTCTCATGCTTTTGCAGATCTCCTTGCCTTTGTCCATGACAGTGGTTGTCCTGGAAGAAGAGTTTGCTCAATGCCAGGGTGTGGGTAAACACTTGCCTCTGCAGTACTTCTGACCTTAGTGTCATACTGAGGTACGAACTGGAGGGATGTCATCCATAGGAATGCCATCGTGTGCATTTTCTCGGGTTTCTGACAGTGGTGCACCATTCACAGATGAGGTGTAGTAACTAGAATTTCCAAAGCTCACATCATAAGGTTCTGGCGAGTTGTCTAATCGCAGCACTGAAAAAAAAATTGAGTTAGTAAATAAATAAAAGCACGCTTTTTTTTGTGAATCTGAAAGTTGTGTGCAGGAATCTGGTAATTATCAGATTATAGGAATTATTGAAGATGGTTGAGTAGGGACATCTCTTACACGAGCTCTTCAGATACCACATTTGAAATTTTAAATAAACAGATTTTTCAGGCAACATTTATTTCTATTTGTAAGAGAACGTTGGTACATCTAAACTATCACTGCTGACAAGGGTGCTGTGGCTCATAAAGGCAGAGATTGAGAGGCTCCGGATTCGAAGGCAATCCAAAGTTCAGGACATCCCTTATGGCCAAGCATAGTGGTACATTCCTGTTATCCCACCCACACCTACACAGGTAATTGTGTATCAGACAATTGTAGTTTGTGATGGCCCGTGTAGAGATGGGAACCTATTGAAAAATAATTAATACAAAATGGCTACAGATGTGACTCAAGTCATAGCCTAAGTTCAAACCCAAGTACTTATTTACTTACTGGCTTACTTTATTTATCTTGCTGCTGACAGCCTCAAAATCAAAGAACGAAGGGAACAACCACAACAAAAAAAAATGCTCTAATATTTTGTGTATGCAAATATCAACATATGCCTCATTTACTTTGGAATCTTGTGATTGCCAACACCTTGCGAACATGTTCAGAATTTTTTAATTTTGCTGTTAAAAATGATTTCTTAAAACGTGAGAGCATAAAAACGTGAGAGCTTTGCAAATCTACTGCTATTATTTTACTAATACAATATTTTGATAGCCAAGCTATTTAAAGTAGACCTAGAAGAAAGCTATTTGATGGGTTCTGTTTCTTTTGGCTGGCACAAGTTGTCATGTACTTAAGATTTTCTAATACAAGTTGTATGTGGTTGTTGTTGTGGTTGTTGTTTACTGAGTCAAATATTTCCTTAAGATCTTGAATTCATTTTCAAAGAAAACATAAGCATACTTTAAATATCTAAAATTACTGCAAGCAGTGACTAATCATTAATTATGCTAATAGCCTAATTATTTTTGTTTGGTCTCATCATGCTTTTACCTGCAATTACTTAAATCATCTACTTAGAAACTACAACTTTGGAGAGATGTCTCAAAGTTTTCCTGAACCCCTACACATCTATCATACCTGCTTCCATGATATCCGATTGATATTTTGTTTGGTGGTACATATACAAGAAAAGATTCACAGTTAAAAATGTTTAGAAGCATTAGAAATCCTTTTATTTAACTTTGAAAAGTGTCAGACATTTTGTATATGGATTATTAGAAACTCATAAGCAAAATTCTGTTGAATTATTTACAGCTAATGGATTTGGTTCTGAATATAAATAAAATGCCAGGGATGAACTGAACTCATCAAAACTGTGAGAATCCTATCATTGGAGGCGGTTAACATTTGTTATGGTAGGAAAATTGCTTGTGCAAACAAGTAAATAGATGATACCCTAAAGTATGAAGAGAAAGATAAAACAAGCATTTGAAGCAATTTTATTTCTATTCTTTTTGCATGTTGTTATAGATCAGACTCTTGCTTTATTTTTAGTGTGTAGATATCTCCTTTGTAGACTTTATAGCTGGCTTTTTCCTTCACATGAGGGTAAAGTTCCTGAGTTGAGGTATATTGTGACTTTAGGTGTGCACATATGCGTATATTAGCTATTCTGTTTTACAGTGTTATTAAGGTGGTTAAATGAGGCTACTGTATGTGTATATATATTCTGGAAGATTTGTACATTAGAATAAAATATTTCTTCAAGTTATTGCTACTCACAGATCTTACAATAATAAAGAATGGCTTTCTAACAGATTTTTAACAAAACTGGCTATTTTTCCACAATTTTATATCATTACATTCCAATTGTATGCATATATTTGGATGTTGGAATTATTATTTAAAACCAATTTTGTTATAATGAACAAGACTTATTAGTGAAGGGGTGACACAGTCCAAGGAAGAAATGAATTCATTACCTGATTTACATGAATGTAACCCCTCTGTACTTTATCTTTATAACAATAAAAAAGAGAAAATAAATAAAGGAAAGGGAAAAAAGAGTCATTAGTAGGTTTTAAATTTTAGTCACACATAGATAATTGCTTTTCCAATTTTTTTTCTTTGAGAAAATTGTTTTGTGTCATGTAACTCCCTTCTGGAAAAAAACCAATGTGTCCAGGAGACGCTCTAAAAGTAGTTCTTACCTGGTTCATTTCTATCCTCATAAAGCCGCTGATGGGAAAATGAGTCTGTTTTCCTTTTTCCACATAACAAATAGCCAACAAGAGTAAGCAATGAAGCACAAAGAATAGCCCCTAAAATGGCTCCAAATACTATTCCTGTGTTTTTATTCTCTAGAAGACAAAAAAAATTCACAAGACATAGAAAATAATTATTCAAAAATGATATATATATATATACGTGCATGTAGACATTTTATATAACCAATAATGATTAATAATTCATTTTAAATTAGACAAAGGTGACATGTGCATGTTGGTGTGTGTACTGTGTATTTTTTTTTTCGGTTGAGGGGCTTGAACTTTGGGCTTGGGAGCTATCACTGCACTCTTCAGCTCAAGGTGAGCACTCTACCGCTTGAGCCACAGCACCACTTCCTGTTTTCTAGTGGTTTATTGGAGATAAAAGGGTCTCTCAGACTTTCCTGCCCGAGCTGGCTTTGAACCGCCATCCTCAGATCTCAGCCTCCTGAGTAGCTAGGAATACAGGAATACAGGCGTGAGCCACCAGTGCCCAGCAACTGTGTATTTTTTAAGTACTCAGGATTTGTGAAAAATTAGTTTATCCATAAACTGCTTAATATTTTTTCTGAGCTCAAGATACCTTCTACTATATATTATTTTTAACTTCTTGGTGTTTTCTTTTTTTCTTCCTTTTTTCTAAGAAATTACATTCAAAATTAGTTTCTGAGGAAGAAATGGTAGCTAAAAATAATAAAATCATTTTAATTACCCAAAAATATGACACGACCTAAAATCTAAAAAGCATAATAAATAACTTACCAGATATTAGATATTTATCATTTTATGTTTCAAAGTTTGGTATAACCCCTAAGTGAAACATACAAATAAGCATATAATAATTTACATTGAAATATAACTCAATTTATGTAATTTTATCAGGTATTAAAAGAAATAAGGGATTTCGTTTTGTTGTACTTGTCTAATTTTTAAAATATGTGTTTCACTATTGTTTCAATTGCTTTGTGAACAGGTAATTTTTAAAATGTATTCATTTTCATTAATTTTTCAAAACTCATATACATATTTTTAATATTCAGTTATTTAGTAGTAAACACATTAATTCTTAAAAGTCTTTGAGTCAGTGGAAATGAATATTTCTAACATTTCAGAAATCTACCACCGCCATCTTTGACCAATCTAACCCCTCATTTGTCCAAGAGCCTTCTTTCTTAGGTAATGATTAGTAAATGCTCAATTAATATTAGCAAATGCTCAATTAATCCCTAAAGCTAATTTACTCTCTCAGGTTAATGTAATTAACCTGCCCAACAGTAAGAACTACTGGTACTACAGCATTCTCCTCTACTTTCTAAGCATGGTACATTCCTTTGTCTTAATCAATGTGATTTCTTTGGAGAATCAATACCACATAATTTTACATCATCTTTTACCTTTTTGGGGGTCTGATGTGTTTGGAAAGAGTTTTGAATTATTGGTGAATTTTAACGTGGGCTGTAGCGTTGTATTTTCTTGATAGGGAGTAAAACCGGAGAAGGTGTAATTGCTTGTGGTAAGCCATCTGGTTGGTTCTGTTGTCAAGGGGGTCACAGAATTAGTAGCTGGTGTTGAGGATAGTACGCCAACTGTGGCAGAAATATTGTCAGGAGTTTTCATTGTGAAATTGTTCAGAGACCAATTGAAGTTTCCTGATGATACAGTATCTGTAGAATTCATCTGTGCTGAGGTTGACAAAAGATGTTTACTTGATATAGATGAGTTCAAAGGCAACTTAGTAGCAAAGCCATGAATCAAGGAAGAGCTTGCAGAAAATGTAGGTGGAGTTCCTGGACCCACGGTAAAGTTGTTTACTGAGGAGTTACTGGTAGCATTTGTTGTTTCATTGGCTGTGAATAGTTTCGAGGGGGAATCATTACCTGCCTTGGGATCAAAATTATTTCTGTTTTCATTCTCTGAAGTTGCATTTACTTTTCCTTTCAAAGAATATGATTTTGTTTCCATTGTTTCCAAAATGTCTGCAATACTTCGGGTTGTATTTGCTCCTAAATTTTGTTTCTCATGGCTCCCAAAGGGTAGTGAAATAAACAAAGTTGAAACCAACACAATTTTGACTAATATGAACATGGTAGCCTTCTGCAGTACTGGTTTTATTAAGAGAAATCTGAAAATAAATAACAATCATTTACTTAAATTATTCATTAAAGTACTCAGAGTGTTTTATAGATCTACATTTCCCCCCCAAAAGATAAATATCTAGAAACATAGTGTTAAGCTAAGAATATATTCTTTGTTTAACATATTGTTTCAGAGGATGATGGTTTTTGTGTTATTATTAGGTATTAATGTTATTCAGTTCTAATTTCTCTATTTCTTCTTTCCTTCTAGAGAAATGCAGGAAAAAATTCTTTCTCTAGCCAGATACCATATTTCAAAGTTTGGTTAGTGTCAGATAAGTTATTATGTAGGTACATGCTTGCAAATACACACACAAATGTACACAAAGATAGGTGTGTAAACTGCTAAAAAATTTAAATATTTTAAGTATAGTGCATGTAGAGATAGCATATTTTCTTCAGACAAAAATGTTTTAAAGTAATAATCTTGAATATTTGTTATGAAAATGATTTATTGATTATACATTAAAGGCCATATATCAGTACTATAAAGCAAATCATTCAGCAACTCACTGGAATGCATTTTACTGCTATCTACTTCGAATGACTTGAATTTGAAACCAACATCCATTTTTAATTTTCATGATGTTTTTGTTCCTAGTTAACCCCAAGTTAGAGAGAATTAAGATTAGATTTTAGAATACACTTTCTTTAGAATACACTTTCAACTTTTATACATGAAGACAATGCTTCAGGATATATATCACAATAAAAAATGGTTCCAGTTGTCCATCTAAACATACTATAGTCAGTATGGAAGTGCCACAATTAATAAATAGGGTATTATGGAAAATAATTTTAGAATTAGGTGTATATCAAAATTTTGCCTGCAGTCACAAATTGAAAAATTATCAAGATAATGATCGTCTGTTACCTTATCATCATTGAAATTACCAAAGTGATGGGACAGAACTGTTCTAATGTAAGATGGGGCACTCTGTACAGTTATGTGCTTACATATAATGATAGCTGTATAGTATGTAGGGGTCACAAAGTTTACATTATCACCTCACTAGAGCCCAACGACAGCCTCTTGAAACAGGAAATGCAGCTGTATTATTTGTGTGCTATAGAAAGAACTGAGGCTTCAAGTGGCTAGTGATGAAAACTAGGGAAGAAAGAAAAGGCATGGTATACAAATCAACTCCACTGACTCCAGCTTCATTAAGTCCTGAAATTTAAAACATTTCTCCCTGAGAAATGTTAATTTTAAACAATTGTTAAAAGTTGTGTGTGGTTGGTTTATGCCTATAATCCCAGTTTCCCCAATCAAGAGTTAGGGTCAGTAGGATGGAGAGTTAGAAGCCGGCCTGAGATACAATATGAGCCTTGGATACAAACAGAATATAAAAATTGTCATTGGATAACTAAAGTAAAGGTGTCACCCTAGCATTTGTGAACCCCTAGTCAGTCTCCATTAACACACCACACACACACACACACACACACACACACACACACACACACACACACACACACTATGCCTTCTTTCTCAAGCAATAGGGTCAGAGAACTGATTTCCTGCTCTTTGAATTGGACATTCTATTTTACTAAAGGCTTCCCAGTTGACTGAGGCAGTTATGAAAAAGGAAATAGTACAAGTGTTATTATTTAGGTTATTTCTTAGGACCTCTCCCTAATCTTTTCAAACTTGAAGACTTTTCATTGGGTCCTAACAAACCTGTCCACACTCTCTTTGATTACTTTTTCGTTTTGAGGGTTCCCCTCACATATATACCTTTTACTTTGTGATACCTCTCATTATATTACAACATAAATATACCTAGAATACATTCTAATAGAATATCTCTACCAAAATCTGTTAGAAAGCACTCCATTTTTAAAAATATTTTATCATTATGCTAAAACATTTTTTAAAAGTTATTTGTAGGGACTGGGAAGGTGGCTCAGTGGTAGAGTTCTTGCCTTGTATGCATGAGGCCTTAGGTTTGATTCCTCAGCACTACATAAGCAGAAAAGACCAGAAGTGGCATTATGGGTCAAGTGGTAGAGTGTTACCCTTAAGCTGAAGACCTCAGGGACAGCGCCCAGGCCCAGAGTTCAGGCCCCATGACTGACCACTATATATAAATATATTAAAGATGATGTACAGTGGGGTTTGTTATATAAGTAAGGTCCTTTGGAATTCTAAAACTTTTATTGACTAAAACTTTTATTGCCACTCCTTGGCAAATCACTTAAGTAAAGTCTTTAATTAAAAAAAAAGAAAGAAAGAAAAGAAAAAGATAGGCAGGCCAGCTGCCAGTGCTTGATCCCTGTCATCCTAGATAATCAGTAGGCTGAGATTTTGAGGACTGAAGTCCAAAGCCAACCTGGCACAAGTATTATTTGGGATATTCCATCTTCAAAATAATTAGCAAAAATAGGACTGGTGGATGCCCCCAAATAACAACACACAAGCCAAAAATCTGAACAAATGCATAGCGCTGAGTTTGAACTCCAGTATTCACAACAACAACAATAAAATGCTTCCTGAATAGGAGTGGTCCTGATCCCATTATTTTACCTATGTAGAGTCACATGTAAAGTTAAAACTCAAGCAGAAAATACCCTTTAATGTTAGAAGTCTAGAATAACCACTGTTGCTTGTAAGAAGATGCGAGTTCTGTTGACTAATGAGGTAAGGAAATGGTTTCTTGTTTTCCTGGTGAGGCTCTGTGTTGGCATGGAGTTTCCCAGATGTTGGCATCTGTGGCAATCCTACTTCCTTAAATTTTATTCACTTTTTTGTGATAACCAACTAAATTGGATTAAGTGCTAAGATTATTAGTATAGTTGGAAAATAGTGTTAACTGATAATGCATGTCTCAATCACAGGACTTCTGTCTTTCCCATTTGGTTCTTACCAACACAAACAACAAGAAAGACTCATGATTCTAGTCACAAATGAATGAAGACATCCTGGTGTATAAACAATGTGTCCAAGCACTCACAGCTACTAATGGGGATACAGGGTTAGGATTCAAACCCTGGTACAACTGAGACCGAGCTCATTTGTGCTGTTTTCCCTCACAATGGGTTCCAGAAGACTCATATCTGCACACACTCAAGTCCTATATATGAACTAGGTATATTTTTGCTTGCAGTATATTCCTGTCCTGAATATTTCAACTCTTCTCTAGCTTGCATATAATGCAATGTACATATTATATAAAAGCTGTGATATTTCATTATTTAAAGAATGACAAGAAAACGGTCTATATTAGTTTAGTACAGATGCACTTTTTCTTTTTTGCTGAATCCACAGTTAGTTGACCACAGGGGTGCAGAATACATGGTGTGGAGGGCCAACTGGACTCATCTTTGTAAAAGTAGTTAGGATAGAGTGTAAACTTTGTCATTTAGCTGCCTTCTACTGTCATATGTTTATCTCAGTCTCTTGAAACTTTTGCCTATCACTTCAAAACACTGAAGATACTGAGTTTTAGTTTTAAGTATCCCTCAAACACAATAAATATATTTTATCTGGACTTAAGAAACCCCAACAACTGTCTGTACATTTTATTTTAACCAGATATTTACAAAGTAGATTCAAAGATTCACATGAACATAACGTGAGCCATTATCCACAGGAGGTACAATTGACTAGTATGCTATGAAGCGATACTTCTCCTAACACATTTAGATATCTGTTCTTTTGCACAAATACTTTTCTCTTCTAAACCCTGCAAATATGACAGTCATGCATTATCTTCTGCCAGTGATTTGTGAATTGTGGATTGTACTTAGCCATTCTTTTTTATATTACTATAGTGTTTAATTTGCACTCTCTCTCTTTCCCTCTCTCTCTCTCTCTCTCTCTCTCTCTCTCTCTCTCTCTCTCTCTCTCTCTCTCTTTGTGTGCTTATTTTCCCCTGCTTTTAAAAAAAGTGGTCACCAGAGTGTGGGGAGGAGACTCTAAACAGTTCCAGCTTTCTTATACTGTTACATGAGGCACATGGCATTTTTTGAGTGTTCATTTCCTTCCCATAATGAGAATCCACATATACCAAGCCAACAAAGTGCGTTTTGTTGTTCCAGTTTCACCTTGTCTGTAACACTGAACCACCAAGGGGCCCTTTCATTCCTTTACCTAATTTGAATTGTAACTTGAAAGCCCAAGGCATCGATATCCCAAACGAAAGAAACATTCTACTACTTCCTATAATTTATCTCCTGGGAAAAGTAAGAAAGGGATGAGTGGGAAAGGGCAATATGTTTGAATACGGTTTCCTATTATGTCAAAAATTAATGCAGGCATCGGGGTACTTTAGTAGAGACTGACAGATTCGCATAATTTGAATGTCACAGCAGAAGACAACTGCTGCTTCGGATCCCCTGACTCAGGCAGCTTTCATCTTAAAGAAGGGGACACACCAGGGCTGGAAATCCTCATCTATAAGAGACTGGAACAAAAGGATTTCCCAGAGCTGTTAGGCTGTATAAGTTTCACTAAATCATGTCCTACAGGACAAGTCAGACATGTTTGTTTCCCATTGGCTGTACATGGCCCATCTTCTCTGTATTAATACTTTTGTATGACCTTGGATTATATTATAAATATCCAAGTGGCATTCGGCAGAAAATAAGTTTCCCCCCTGACTGTTATTCAGAAATCCAGCCCTGAAATTTTGCAGAAGATAAACTTATTTAGGTTAAGTCTGACCTCATCCTGAGACAAAGTCTATTGTAAGCAGCAACAGCTGGTTAAGGGATACAGAAGTTACAGAGGACAGTAAATGAAATCTTTTTTTTTCTCTCTGTCCTTCCAGGCTCTCTGCATCTCAAGAATTCAAATATTTGAATGCATATATATATGCACATGTGTGTGTGTGTGTGTGTGTGTGTGTGTGTGTAGAGACAGAGACAGAGAGAAACAGAGGAGAGAAAACAGTATGTTTAAGTTTACCAAAGTTCATCCATCAGCCTTGTGAGATCAGACAAAAAAATGGAATTAAAATTAAAATCAGAGAGAG